GAAAGTTTTCTTTTGTCTTGCTGTTTTTTTTTACCTAAAAAAGACCTCATCAAAGTTCATTGCTGTCTAGTAATTCTGCTCAAAACTTTTTTTTCCTGCTGTAGTAGCCTCTTAACGATGTACTAAAACTGACATCCACCCCACCCCATCCCCTTTCCAAATTTCTGTCCTTTAATTTTCGTCATTTCTGTATACATTTGGGCAAAATCATGAGTCGTAATTGGAAAGGAAGTTCTAAAAATTGCACTCCGTGGGCTGTTCACGAAAAGAAAGAAAAATTCAACCGAATATCCATAAAATCGTTGATTTCTGGAATTCCCGAGAGTCCTTTTTCCCCCCTGTTGACAAATCTGTGCTGTTTGTAGATTTTGTTTTGTCGATCAATATTCTTTACTTTTTAAACTGGTTTCTAATTGTCTTTAGAAAAATTAAAACCCTAATTTTTTTTTTATATTAGCCATTTAATTTATTTCCAGTAGGATTATGTAGAAACGCCATCCTTTGGTATCTTGCACAAATGCCTGGTAAGGTACCTCATTTTTTGTGAGTAAACATGTTAAAGTAGCAATACTTCAATGACGAAATCTTGGTAAGAATTATGTATTATTTAGGAACGTATCGTCTGTCCTTAAGTGTCCCTTACCTGTAAATATCGGCCAAATTTAAAATTCATAAGATATACACTAAATCAAGGTTATTTTATTTTCTTCCTATTTGTGATGATTTTTTTTTTTCGGAAGACCTTTAACTTATTGTTATGTGAAAATTTCACCACGAGTGTTCGAAGTAAAACAACTGAAAACTAGTGCAAATTGTAACGGGAACCGTTACAGATGTTCCCCAAATACATGTACGTCCACACTCCCTTACGGGCCCTAAATCTACACTTTAATTTCAGAAGTATTATAAAAAAAAACAACAAAAAAACTCTGGTATAATCCTTTGAGTATTAGCCAATCAGATTTCAGAGCACGCACATGATCATCTTTTCTAGATATTTCACATGTTTTCCTCTTAAGGCTCAAAAATAAATGTAAGAAATCTCAAACATTTTCATTGAAAACTATGAGAGATACAGCCATATAAGTATTAGCCAATCAGAACCCAGCACATGTACGTGCATGTTCTTGCATTCAATTTTGATAATAGCATAATGTAGGAAAACGTTATACCTATCTTTATTCTAAATTTCATCCTGTTCTGTTAAAAAACTACGAAAGTTAAAGCCATTTAAAGTTTAAAACAATCAAATTGCAGCACATGTGCATGCGGGGGTTTTCACGATACCTCATACATATCACAATGTAGAATCTCCTTATGAATTACTGTTTTGAATTTCAAAGTATTTCGTCAAAAAACTAGAAGATTATTGAGATTTTTTGTCAGATGATCAAAGAGAAGCACACGTGCATGCGCGTACTTTCTTACTAATTCAACCATCTCATAAAGTCTACACCACAAAGATAGGTTTATATAATAATGTTCAAGGCATATCATTTAAAAATAGGAAGGTTAAAGCTGTTTCAATTGTATCAGTCATTTCACTCCCCCACGCGCACACACGTGCATGCAAGTGCGCGCAAAATGACCTTCGTTCCGCACATCTACACAACATGCCTGTTAATCCTAAAAAGGTCTCATTTCAATCGGATGAGTAGTTTCCAAGAAAACTCGAGGACAAAAAAGTTTTGAAAAAAAAAGTAAAAACAATGTGTTCCCAAACTTCGTTTGGGGAACATTATATAAATGGTGCCTGTTTTGAAGGGTAACAGTTGAAATTGACACCCCAAGGAAAACCATTGTCAACGGACGCGCCTGTTTTGGAGGGTAACAGTTGAAATTGACACCCCAAGGAAAACCATTGTCAACCGACGCGCCAAAGCTTTTAAACTCCCCGCTACTATTTTTCTCAATAAGAAAGTTTCGTAAAAGATCGATTTACCGACCTCTTTATTGTTTGTTTGATACTCAAAGAATCTTTTATCATCTAAAGTTTCGTTATTCTGCACTCGGAAGCATGTTTCGTCTGTTTTGTTGTTTTCAAGTAAGTTACATCGGACGCAAGCTTTCATTGACGTCAAAAACAGAAAACATATCCCAGTCTTGAACCATTACCAATTGGTTTGAGTGATCACTGTGCTATATTTTGTTCAAGGAGGATTTCGAAAGGTCACTTTAATTAAAAAATTATAACCCAGAAATTTTTCTGACGAAATTGCTGGAAGCAGATTGGACCCCAAGTTTTTCTACGTGTCAATTAAGCATGGAGGGCTTTTCAACAAACTTTAAAAAAAATGGTCTAAGATGAAGTAGCACCGGTCAAAGATGTAAAAACAACGAACTGAACCGTGGATAACATCGTCCATCCTCGAAAAGATCCGAGAAATTTAAAGAGATTCTTTACATACAGAAAAACAAAACAGGAAGATTATTATAAAAGCTACTGCAGAATCAGAAATGAAATACAGAAAGACGTTAGAGTTGCACGGACAGAATATCTTTCTTGTAAAATTGAAGAAATTAAAAACAGTCCCAAAAAATTATGGCAGAGTCTAAAAGACCTTGGTCTTAAAAATAAACGTCAGGACAGTAGGAATTCTGTTTAAAAATTGATGATGAAATTTGCAAACTCCCCAGACCTTTGAATATTTTTAGCGTGGATAGTGAACGTTTTAAATCCTATTATTCCAAAAATGATAGTCTTTTTACTCTGAAAACAGTCAGTGAAAGTTTTGTACATAAAGAACTTCTAAAACAGAACCCAACTAAAAGTACGGGTCTCGATGACATTCCATCCAGGTTTATTCGTGATGGAGCAAATTTTCTTAAGATTCCTATCACCTATATTGTAAATTTATCTATTTCTTCTTCCATTGTTCCTGACGATATGAAAACAGCAAGGGTTAAACCTATACATAAAAAGAAGATTTCACTAGAAGTAAGTAAATATAGACCAGTTAGTATTTTCAGTGTCGTTTCAAAAATTTTAGAGAGATCTGTTTATATGCAACTTGCAAAATACTTAGATCGTAATAATATTTTATACGAGTTCCAATCTGGCTTAAAAAGTAAGTACTCCACTGAAACTTGTTTGATACATTTATTTGATTTTATTAGAGATAATACTGCAAAGGAATTATATACTGGAATGGTTATCCTTGATCTGCAAAAGGCATTTGACACAGTAGATCATGATATACTTTGTAAATAACTTAAAACAATTGGTGTACAATCTGTTGATTGTTTTTATCTTATTTGTCTGAAAGAAAACAGTATGTTTACAGCAATGGAATTTCATCAGATGCTGGAATGTTTACATGTGGTATACCTCAGGGCAGCATTCTATATAGGTCCTTTATTATTTTTAATATACGTCAATGACATGGTAGCTAGTGTTGACACAGACTGTGAACTTATTTTATACGCTGAAGACAGTGCTATCTTATTTGCATATAAAGATCCAGATTTTATATCAGAAAAGCTTAGTAAAGTTTTAGATCAGACCTCGCATTGGCTTGTAGGTAATAACTTATCGTTACATTTAGGCAAAACTGAATGCATTTTATTTGACTCCAAAAGAAAACTTCAAAATGTTCAAAAATTTCCAGGTTGTATGTAATGACCATAACATTGAATGTAAAGAAAAAGTTAAATAACTTGGAGTTGTGATTGACGGATGTTTGAGTGGTGAATGCATTATTGAAGCAATTGTTCAGAAAGTAAATAATAGATTAAGATTTCTGTACCGACAAGCCCGTTTTTTTAGATTTTTTTTGTAAAATGACTCTGTTTTCGGCACTGATACAATGTCATATTGATTACGCCTGCAGTGCTTGGTATGCAGGGCTATCTAAGACCTTAAAGAAAAAATTACAAATATGTCAAAACAAGATGGTTCGATTTGTTTTGAATTTAGGTCCACAGGCATCTGTAAATTATGAAGTTCTCAATCAATTGAATTTATTAAATATTCAAGGTAGAGTTTCTCAGCTTAGACTAAATCAATTTTTTATTATTTATCAAGGAAAAGCCCCTTCGTATCTTACTGAACATTTTTTACTTCGGTCTAATATTAGTAGCTATCATACTAGATCAACCTCTAATGCAGATTGTGTTGTACCAGCTGTCAAACATAAACAATCTGAATCATTTTATTTTAATGGAGTCAAAGATTGGAACATGTTACCAGCAGAAATTAAAACTGTTTTAAATACTGGAAATAAGTTTGCTTTTAAAAGAAATGTCAAGAAATTTTTGTTAGATAGGGGAATTGCCCAGTATAAAAGTCAAGACATATTCTATTAGTCTCAATTTTTATTGTTAGTTGATTACGATTATATTCATCTGAAGACTTGGTATATATACATATTACTATTTATTTTTAATGATCTTTGTGTTGTCAACTTGATCCCATCTTAATTATAGTATATTGTTTATTTAACATCTAGCATACTTGTATAACTATAAGGGTCCCATTGGAAATAAGCCCTTGGCTTTCATGGGTTATCCTTGGTATACGAATGTAATATGCATTATATTTAGGTTTTTCGAAAAACGACTGATTACGATATATTTTAATTCTAATTCTAATGTTTAGTGTCAAACTTTTTATATATTTCTTAATTTTATTTTGTCAGAAATGCATTGTACCAACGTATGTAGTATACCAAATAAGTATCTATCTATCTAAGTTTATTTGGCTTCTTTCAAACGCACAACTGACGTTTTGAGAATTCTACGGTGAACCGTACGCGCATGATTTGCAAGCATGTGACAATTTCGTTGTGTTACCCGTTGTCAAGTGTTTTGCTAACGCTGATGGTAACATTACTGATTGTTACATGCGTCTAAACCAATCAGATTTTAGTATTTAACATGAAAGTATAATAAAATAAAATTAATGCCAAAACGGAGCACCGTACATGAAGTACGCACCAGCTGACCACCAGACCGTGTCCATATTCTTGTAAACATTTCACTGACTATGAATTGGACCCTATGATTACAAATGAAATGGCGGCTAGTCATATTCAGTGGGAGGAAACAGTCAATCTGGAAAAAGGTAAAAAAATTCATGTATATCCTTAGTGACGCAATAAATTGGTATCAGAATTGTGACATATGCGTTCGATTTGAAATAACTGATAGAGTTATTTATAGTCGGAAAGTGAGTACTGCTACCGATACACAGCTGATAAATGTTTGTAATTTGCTTGAAGTCTGATTGTTAATGTGTTAATTTCAGTGTGATGAAAAAATATAATATTAATTCGGCAATTATGAGTAATGTTTCTTCAATCTTTCGAAGAAATTCTGGGTTTGGCGAAGAGGGCGTTTAGACCATTGAAATATCTGAAGACGTTGGAATCCATTGACGATATCAGGCCTGAACATTTCTTCCATCTGTTTGAAATCGTATCTGGTGAAACTATTCCAGGTAATCACGTGATCTATTACAATCATCTAAAGATCGATGATTTTTTCAGAAAAAAAAATACATGTCTGTGAATCTATAGATTTTCGGCTGAATTAGGGAGTGAGATCAACAGTTCAATGACAACATTTTCATCAAGACATCCCCCATCAACACATGCACACCTCAGAATTAAAGGTGATGCATGCTGATACAAATTTGATTTTAACTATTGTTTACCACACTAAATAACATTTTTAATTCATAAAAGAAACATTTCAGATAGATACCATAACAGAAAATAACTCATGCACAATATGCACTTTTTGTATAATTATCGACAGCTGATCGATGTCAGACAACAAAAACTGTAGGGACTAACACCCCACCTTCCTGGCCATTTGAACTTAAGTTTTCCCCCATAAACTGAACATTCTAATTTCACCCTTTAATAATATTTTGTGCCTGGTGTTCATATACATGTATGTTGCTTACGTATAGGATTACCTACATAAGGCTTCAAATATATTGTAAGTTTTATTATACTATTGATTTGAATTTATTTGATGTTTATATGCAGTTTTAGGAAATTCGATCGGCAAATAAATTGCGAATTGTTTATCGACAGTTTTTTTTAATCAGTGGCGCATCCAGAAATTTCGTAACGGGGGGCGCAGTAGAAGGCAGGGGGGTCTGGGGGCTGCATTGAAGCCCCCAGTGGGTCTAGGGTAAGGCCCTGGTGGGGGTCCGGGTACAAAGCCCCTGGAAGCTGATAAATTCTTACAAATAAGAGATGTTTTCCTTGATTTTAGGATAATGGACATAAGTTCTACATACAAAAAATTCAAAGGGGGGGGGGGGCGCACGCCTGGCTCGCCGGCCCTGGATCCGCCTTTGATAAGATGAAAAAGTAGTTTACTGTATATATAAAGCGCATACTAGATAAAGGTGACTATTTACGCGTGCTTTTAATTACGCGAAACAGTAGCAGAAATAAAGTGTATGTTGGATATTTAGCGATACCCAAATTGTTATATTGTATACTGTTGTATAAAATATTTAATTGGATGCGTGGATGGATATATATATATATATATTTCAGGCACGTAGTATCGGGATAGGGGGTGCCCCCCTTTTCCAGTCACTACTTTTTTCTATAGAAAATATTTATTGAAAGGCTGCCCCCCCCAAACTTTTTGTTGCGGTATGTAGTCAAATCAGGGTAATGTATGAATAAAATTTGGTTATGTTAAAGGTTGTAACCTACCCCCACCCCAACCCACGATTTAGGATTTTCGGGTTCGGACAATTTTCCTTGTCAATTTTTTTTAAAGGTAAGTTGAAATTTTTCTCTCTGCCCCCCCCCCCCCCCTTTCAAATACGATACTACATTCCCGTGATTGAAATATTTTGGTTATAAATGATGCATGTATCAACCCTCTACAATATTAAGAAATTGTATACTTTCTGAGAATTTCAAATTTCATCTTTTTGCCTGTATCCTTATAAATCAACACATTTTTTCATCACTTTATTGGACATTACTGAGAAACTGAATGAAATAGGAAACTTTCTGCGGCTAAACAATTCAATTTAATTATATGTATATAAACATACACTTGGTTGTTATTTTAAAGACATTTTTAATAAAAAGTTCTAAATTTGTATCATCTGCATTTACTATAGAGAGGACATGCGAAAAAAGGGGGTGATGTTATTTACATATTTTATTTTATTATTAAATAAGTCCTCCCGTAAATTTATAGAGTACACGCATTAAGTTAATATTTGTTTTATTTTCTTTTTCCGATATGCCCCACAGGATGGCGTGACTGCAAAAACAAACGACAGGAAGCCAACATGTGCCAGTTCCTGATTAACACTTTGGATGACAATGTGGACACACTGTCTCTGGACCACATAACCGGAGAGGCGATTACAGAGGGGGACCCACGCGCTCTGAAGAATCTCCTGGAAATTTTCTGTGAAATCATTGAAGAGTATAATAGGAGGTCGCCACTGGCCGGTAAACAGTCACTGGCCGGTAAACAGCCCCTCCCCGGAATAAATGTAGAGCCTTGAATTTTACAAAATAAATAAATAAATAACAAATAAAAAAAAAAAAATAAAGATAAGAATAGAAAATGGAAAAAACAAAATCTTTGGATGGAAGGGGTGTGCACACACCTCAGTTTTTACATGAATCTTCAACATTTTCTAACGTTATCTTTTTAATATTTATTCTTAATTTGACTGAACTTTTTTTATAAACTACAAATCTAGTTAGTCAAATAAAATTCCTTTATTAAAGTTCGGAAAAAAAATGTAGATATACTTTGAAGAGGACACAATATTGTTATTTTTTGTAGACATATCGGATAAGTACATAAGTAAAAAAGGGCCCGAAGCTAGTAACAAAGAGCTGAAAACATCTACAGATATTACGGCGGATCCTGGTTTCATTCCACCCGAAATAAGGTAACACGACGGCGGATCTAGCATCACACCAGACCTAATTTATATGCCCGTAACAAAATTTTAAAACAAATCACATGACACGGATGATACGAAAACGTTGTTCCCCTAGAAACCGTTCAGCAGGTGCCCGAAGAAAGAAACGTCTAGATTGTCACATGTTACAGAACTAAAACTAAACCTAGTTTTAAAAAAAAACATATCAAGTACATATCATAGTATTTCAAGGAAATTTCTGTGTTAATATGGTAAAACTTTGACAATATTCTAATGTTACCAGAATTTTTCCTCTTATTTTAGGAAACTACTGTCCAGAATTAACAACGACGCCGAGACTATTGCCCGGTACAGTCAGAGCAGTGGGTTATTGGACGCTTTCAAGTCCAGTCACCGTATAAAGGTAAGATTATGTGCTGGACATTTTCCGGTCCAGTCACCGTATAAAGGTAAGATTATGTGCTGGACACTTTCCGGTCCAGTTACTGTATAAAGGTAAGATTATGTGCTGGACACTTTCCGGTCCAGTGACCGTATAAAGGTAAGATTATGAGCTGGACATTTTCCGGTCCAGTCACCTATGAAATTATAATTATGTGCTGGACACTTTCCGGTCCAGTCACTGCATAAAGGTAAGGTGTATGTGATGGACACTTTCCGGTCCAGTCAGCGCATAAAGCTGGACTCTTTCCAGTCAATTCACTGTATAAAGGTAAGGTGTCTGTGCTGGATATCTTCAAGTCCAGTCAAGATACCAAGATAAGGTATGCTGGACGTTTTCAAGTCCAGCCAGCATATCTAAGATCGCGGAACATTAACTATGCAGCTTACGTCATTTCCATTTGTTACAGTCAAAACATTTAATGATAGACAATGAAATGGGCGGGTACAATTCGACACGGACGTCCGAGAAAACATTGGATTGAAATTCTAGTTTGAAATTCATTTTCAATCCACATGCATATTTCATAAACTCGACTAAGATCATCCAGGGATACACATTAACAGACTTGATCTAACCTATATAATTAAAATCCAGATCAGTGATCAGGTTTTTTAGGAGCAGGTCGATTCTCAAGTAACTATAAACCCTATGACGACTGAACTTGCTTAGATGATGCATCTATAAATGCACACTTTTAAAAACGTTGGATTTGACTTATGTTTTCGGATGAGTATCAGTGCTGAAGTTTAAGTCCATTTCTAAGGAACTATAAGCCCCATGTTGGCCAATTCTGCATGGATCATTGGATGATGTATCTGGGTATGCACACTCTCTGACATTCTTCGGATGTTAGATCGAAGCATTTTCCGTATTATTGTGTAACAGGAAAGAAGAAAATGCATGATTGCACTGGAAATCGAACCCCGAGATTCGATTAAGCTAAGTTGGAAGAGCGCCTGGCTAGTGATGCAGAGGCCCCGGTTCGATTCCCATACCAGGCATAGTACATTTCCTCCTTTCCTTTACATAATTTGGTGCCGTGACCAGGATTTCTGTTACAATTGCACATGTTTAAGCATTTGAAGCATTACATTCCAAAATAATTATAAACCTACCCAGCTGCAGGGTCAAAACGTGCATGAATAACGCATCTATAGGGAAGCACACTGTCACGCTGCTAGACCTGCTTTGATGCTGGTTCTGACCAACATTTTCCAGAAGATTGAAAGGATAACGTTTTCCGAGCAGGTACATTCATAAACAGGTCATAACTATAATTTTTTTCCTATAACAAACTTGCATGGATGTTACATCTTAAGATGGTCGCTTAACTAAAAAAAATATTGGATACGAGATTTTTCTTTACTTTATAGATAACATTTGTCGAATTGAGGTTCGTTGCTTACCTATATATTTCATGTAAATCCATAATATTTATGCAGGAGATTTTTACCCAGACAACCCCAGTACCAATGACGTCATCAGTCACCAGTCCGATCACATGGGATTTCATTCTGAAGAAAAGAAATCTTCAAGAGGCTGGTATATACCACGCAATAAATGATTGAACAATAAATTTACAATGCAAGCACAGAGATACTTATATAAATTTACAATTGTCGATGGAAATTAAAGCTCTCAACAGCCATATGCATGTACTCGTATTGTTTTTCTTTTCAGAAAAATTACAGTCCAAAACAGTAAGTCAATCTAAGCCCCTGACGAGAAAGGTCGTCCCCACAGGGAAGACGGTGGCCTCGGGGACAAAACCCCGGGGGCTTCAGAAGTCACTGGGACCAAAGAGAGTCGTAAAACCTAAACCAGTCCTCGGTTCGAAACTCCGGCGCAGCAGTTCCTCAGCTGTGACAAAGTCAGGACTAAGCCCAATATCTAGTAAGAAAATGGTGTCCTGTAGAAATGTTTTTATTTAATATAAGACGTTTTCTGGTGAAAACAGCTGAGTCCAGTAAGGGTCCTTAGGTGGAAATATAAAGGCCTTGGAATTTTCTAAAAACTCCTTTTTTCTTTGAGAAAATCTACATCTGTTGCATTTGATGCGGAGCACTCGTTATACTGTCATAAAACAGTTAATAATACAATATTCGATTCACTTCCGATCAGAATATAGTAAAAAGGTAGTACGCTGTACATTAGTATATCTGTAATGTAGTAACACTAAAGTTTACTCAGTGGTTGCGAGTATGAATCCTTTAGATAACCTGACTTGTTTTATCACCATTTGTGTTTTAGAGAAGTCCAGTGCAGTGTCCAGTACGGGGGACACGGTGGACCTACAGAAGCTGGTGGAACACGCGGAGATCGTGGTCAGTCGCCGGAGGGAGATGGCACGTGAGATTAAGCGGGTTCGTGTCAGTTGACAGTAAATCTTCACAGTTGATGCTTGTTTTGAACTTTAAACAATCACATACACTTCGGGAATGGAACCTCGCCCTCCCTTGCCCTTCTAGTTAATTTTTTTTAAACTGGAAGAAGGGGGAGGGTATGCACCTGGAAAAAGCGGTGGGAGGGGGTATACACCTGCTCCAATCAAGAAACACTAACCTTGTAACACTTGCTAATATACTGTAGTGTTATTGACTTAATTGGATCTTAATTTTTATTGTAAACTATTTTTTCTGCACACCCTCTGAATTTTCCAGCACTACAATCAAGTTAAACTTTCACTCTGCAATCATTTCCAAACGCAGCCACTTTCTCATAATAGTTTCACGGGGGGGGGGGGGGGGTTATTCTTCATAGGGAAGGTGGCAGATGTAAATGCATGAAAAGGTGAAATTTCCATTAGTTAATTAAATTCTAGTTGTTAGGGAAGTTTTTATGGTTCATCTATTTTCTTTTTCTAGTTACAAAATGAAGAAAATATTCTGAAGACGACAGAAATGATATTGAAGAAGGAGATACAACTTCTACAAAAGCAGGTTAAACACTTCTCAAAATTTTCATGTACTTCGAGATAATGGGCAAAATTGAAGTTTAGTTGTACTTTGTATACATATCAGCTGTCTTAGTTTAAGAAGGAATGCCAACAAAAATTTTATTTCAAGATCTTTAAGAAATCCCTGTTAAGTTATGGTTTCAGCATTGAAAGGCCGATATTAGCTCTTAATTATTTTATAAGAATTTTTTTCCAATTTTTCATAGAAAATGAAAAGAGTGTTTTCTTTGAAAATAAGATGCTTTAGAGTTAAAAATTTCCTATTTATAAATGCATAATATAAATATCTAATAAAATATGTAAAGAAAAGCCTGATAGACATTTTAATTATTTTACTTTTTATGAAAATAAAATACTTTATTTGTAAATATTTTCAAAACCTATGGATAATATATTCAAAAAAACAAGTCACAACTACAAAGGATATGTTAGACTATCATATTTTAAAAAGAAATTGAGATGAAATTGCCAATCTTTAGAGAAATTTTTTTTAATTTTGGCCAATCCGATCGAAATTAAACTGATCCGAACCAGAATTTTATTATAATTGGAAAAAATCTTATTTTCTCTAGAATTTCGCAATTTCATTTCAATTTCTTTTTAAAATATGATTACCTAACATGTTCTCCCTAGCTGTGACTAATTTTATGAGGATTTTATCCATAAGTATAAAAAATATTCACAAATAATATGTTTTATTTTCATAATTATTTTTATTTATTTAAAAAATTAAAAATGTCTATCCAGCCTTTCTTTACATATTGTATTAAACATTCATGTTTTGCATTTATTAACAGCAAAATTTAAACCATAAAGCATCTTATTTGCAATTTTTTTTCCCCATTTTCTCTGAAAAAATGCAAAAAAAAAAAAAACCGTATATAAAATAATTAAGAGCTACACAGACCCGTAGCTACGGTTTCAAAAGTGGGGAGGCCAACCCCCCCCCCCCAAAAAAAAATTCTGACAAGCCAAAAAAAAAAAAAAAAAAAAATAATAATAATAAACAGACCAAAAGTGTGTGCGTGGGGGGGGGGGGGGACTTCCCAAAATTATCGTACAAGCAAATAAAAAAAAAGGTAATTTACTGTCCAAACTGGGAATTTACAATTGCTCAACCTTACAATATCTGGGGGGGGGGGGGACCAGCGTCTAAAGGAAAATTTACTAAAGCAAAAGGCTATACTCAGAAAAAAGTGGGGGCGAGCCCCCCCCCCCCCCCCCCCGCATTCTACGGGCCTGAGCTAATATCGGTCTTTCAATACTGAAACCATAGTTTAAAAGACCTTTAAATAGAATTCTGGTGTGGCATTCCTTCTTAACTTTTTTTATTTTACAGAAATCTAAGACTCCAGCAACTTCACTTCAAAGACTTACTGCGAGGAATTAATAGACTGGTCCATTGGTTCCCTGTGGTCATTTAAAATCAGGTGGATGGAAATCAGGTGGATGGAAATCGTCAAAGTTTATCAACATTTCCTGATATTTCATTCACAAGCTCAAGATGTCCATATATGACCGATCCTCTCTACATGTATATATATTCATAATTCTCTCAATAGATGGTCTGTACATTTCTAATAAATTATCATCATAATTATTATGAGAAGTTAACATTGTATATTTATTTTTTGATATACAACTATCATAAATTTAGTAAAAAGATTTATTGACATTGTTAAACTAGGAGTTTTATGTGTGCGCACTTCTTCGTCAGATAAACTGAGGAAGTGTAGGGAAATTCGCAAAGATTCAAGAAAAATAGTGTGGAAGATTTACTTTTCATGAATTATCTTTTTAAGTGCCAGTCCAACCCCCTCCCCAATTAAAAAAATAATGATAATGCATATATCGCCATGTTCAGCGAACCAAAATTTAAGTACCCCCCCCCCCCAAAAAAAAATAACCAAAACAAAAAACAACCCCAAAGAAACGGCATAGTTGTCATTCATCGTTTGATCCAAACAAGCAGTTTCATTATTATCATTAGAGTTGGTGAGCTGAATATATATACATGTATTTACATAACATACCAGCTAATGACAAACGGGCTTTTGTGTTTATTTACATGGAACAACAAAGTATTGATAAATCGATATACATGTATAACAAATCACATTAAATTTGTTGAACTGCGCAGTTTAAAATCGGCAGAATATTCAGATGTAGCTTTTTAAATTAAATGATTGAAAGAAACTTATCAGTGAGCATATATATATATATATATATATATATATATATATATATATATATATATATATATATATATATATATATATATATATATATGCTTTCTAATGATAATTAATAGAAGTGCCTGTTTTAGACGGTTATATCTCTCTGAAAGTCAAAATCTAGATTTTCTCCCAGAGATGACACCAGGATTAATGTTGGGTTTTTCCGCTTTCTTTTAATTGTCAGTTTAGTTTATTTGTTGATATTTTTGAGTTATTGTAGACATTTTAATGTTCTGATGAAAGGAAAAAACAAACTTTAGGCGCTGACAGCTAGAACTGTACGTGGCGGATTAAGATAAACCCCCCTCCCCCCCCCCCCCCCCCCAACACTACCACCAATTTTCCATTTGTAAAATTGAGGGGGGAAATGTTTACAAAATTTAGTTTATGCCGACCTTGAATAGGTAATATCCGCATGTATTTTAAAATAAACATTTCAAACCACCAAATATATCGCATCTATATAGATCTAAATGTATAACTTGCCATTAGTCAGTACAACCAACTTGCCATTAGTGATATTGGACTTTGACCCCTCAAAAAAATTCTTGATCCGCTCCTGCATTATTTTTGGGATTGTTATAATTGGTAAAACGTGTACATGTAATGTACAAAAAAAATTAACGGGTGGGGGTGTCGAGAGAGGTAGCCACCACATAGAAACACGAGATAATTCTAGAAAAGCATATTTTACACCGTCACACGTGACCGCAACACGTTTGTGGGCGTTGTCACAGCAAACCATTCGTCATTTCTTCATTCGGAACCTATCTAATTTTATCTATCTCTCTGGGAAAACTCCCGAGCGTTGGTAAATATTATGAGCGGACAAGCAAGACTGTGTACATGACAGTGGAGCGTTGCTTGTTTCCCGCTAAATCATGCCCACCCTACCCGCTATTGCCCCGTTTTTGGGTGACACAAGTCGTTTGATTTCTTACCGAAAGTTTAGCGAAGCTTCGGCAGTCGGTTTTCTCTCAGCGATTTTATTCGTTGTATTTTCTGAGCCACTGAAGAATTACGTTGATTTTGGAGAGAAATGGATGAGCTTGTCGGGTTTGCCTTACCAGATGAACACAGCGATGCTGGGGTTTATCGTGGGGTTCGGATTTGTGAAAATTTTCTTTTTAATGAGGATTTTATTGTTCAGGATGCTACTAAACTATCAGGGCTGGATGACAAACCCAAAAAGCATGGCTACCAAGGTAATTACGTCCCCTGCATAAATATTTTGGTCTCATTTGATCATGTTTTGGCAAATGCGTTTAAAAAGATGATTAAAAATTGCTTGAAAAATTATGATTGATATGAAATCTGAATACTTTTGCGCTTTATAGCACGTGAGAAATCATGTCTGTCTCAGCTAGAGTGCAACTCGAAGGCACTTGTACATGTTATGTAATCATGCTGTGATTGCATACATTTGGCTTTAATGATAGTTATTGTTCATCTGAATTTTCCAATTTTGAGAGAGAATAAAATAAATCTGCATTTCATCAAGAGCAGTTTGAGGGATGATTTCAGTAGGAAGAAATGCAAAGATTTTTTTCTGTTTTCAAAAAGCTGCATTTTCAATGCATACACTGTGTATAAGTTGAAAGCATGCAGTGAAACATTCTGGAAAAACATTAATGATGTAAGTTTTCTGTCCACAAGTTCTGTTTCTGCTAGTAGGCTATAGATGTAGATAGATGTCTAAATGGTTAATACATCTGAAATGAAATATAACAGAGATCTATCAACATGATCAAGGTTTATAACAAGGTGATTGATAAGTTGTATATGTACATTGTATATGTCATAAGTAGGAAGTATAATTATACAAACTATGGTTCAGTGATTATAAGTAGTCAAGAGTTATAACACAAAATGCATTTTTATGCGCCTGGATCGATAGATCGGGGGCACATATTGTTTTTGTCCTGTCTGTCTGTTTGTCTGTCTGTTGTCAACTTTAACCTTCGCCATAACTTTTGAACCATGAGAGATAGAGACTTCATATTTGGTATGCATACTCCACTAATTAAGCTCTTTCAAATGACACTAAGGTCAATGATCTTGTGACCTTGACTGTGACCTATATGCTAAAAATAGCTTTTTCGAACTTTGTTGTTGCCGGGTGCATAGTGTTTCACAAACACATCTTGTTTAAAAAAAATGTTGGATGCAGAAATGATTAAAATATTTTAAATTTGATCAGGTTTGTTTTTAAATAGATATTAAAGAAAATAAATTTAACACACTTTTTTGTATAAAGAACAAAAAAAGAAGCTAATTTAGACATTTGAGTAATATGTCATTGCCATGTTAAGTTATGTATTCTAAAAACTTTCTAGGAAAATCAAGTCAGCTCTTGTTCTTTTGAAAAATATAGACCTATATATGTTTATGGCTAATCATTTTGTCCACTGATTGATTGTCCACAGATACCTTAGTATATATTCTTGAGTACTGCATTGCAATTTGATTAAATTCAACTTAATATTTGATATGGTTTGTTTAGATGTGGGCATTGATGCTGAATGCATTGAGAGGGAATGGCCAATACCCTACGTATTACTTCCAACCAATGCTGCCTAAACTACCAGTCCCTAAACTCAACACAACACTAGACAGGTATGTCATACCAGGTCCCCCCCCCCCCCCCATGATTGCCATGATAACACTTGACAGTTATGTTGTGGGACAGTGCCCCTCCACCTCTTTCCCACCCCACTCCACAAAAAAAACATGTAAATTAAATGTAATGATTTCTCTTTAGGTACCTTGCTTCTATGAAACCTATTCTGTCAGACGAAGATTACATGCATTTGACCACCTCTGTGTTGGAATTCAAAGAAAAAGAGGGACCAAAGCTACATAAATATCTATGTGATAGGTCAGTCTTTATGTATTTTATCAGTCTTTGTACTTTAAAAGTTTATTATACATATAGTACATTGTTGGTAAATTTTCTGTTGATAATTGAGATGCTGCCCTTTTCACCAAGTTATGTTTTAAGAAGGTTTTAACCAAGGCACATTGTTTATCTTTTTAAAGATATAATTATGTTAATGTTGCATTTAAAAATTGCATAAAACAAGTTCCAGATATCAAAGGTTTCACTGTATTGTTCTTGAGCATGCAAATTAAATTAAAATTATTGATCACTGAAGTACTTCTCATTGGTGTTTTATGTCTCTTTCTGATTTTCTTGTTTATGTTTGATTGTGTGTTTATTTGTTTATTTGTTTGTTTGTTTGTTTGTTTATAGGGCTGCCACCAAGGATAATTGGCTGATAGAATACTGGCTTAAATATGCTTATCTTGTCAACAGGGAACCATGTGCAGGTTAAAAACACACCTAATTATTGTAAAAAAAAATCGTATAACTGAGTTACTTTGAACAACTGATTTAATTATGGTATATTATTTGTTTTTTGGCATTTTTGATTTCAGTAAAAGTGAATTGTTATGCCACGGATCGTCGGGACTTGCCCACAAATAACCAGGTTGCTCGAGCCGCTAACTTGATATACTATGTGCTCAGGTGAGTATTTTAAGATAGATTGAGTAGCTAATTTGACTCCCTAGTTCTGCAGTTGAGTACAAGTATAACCAGAGAGCCCTGGTGGCTAGCCTGATACCTGTGTCGTCAGATGAGTCAATAATCAGATAGTTTGAGTACCTAAAATTATACAGTTGAGTACATGTATAACCAGAGAGCCCAAGTGACTCAGTTGATAAATTATCATGAATTATAATCTGAAAACTATGTTAAACTTTGATGATTTTATAGGTGACATATATCAAATTATTAAATTGCAAAGATAAGAGGAATAGGAGCATAATATTAACTGAAATACAAAGTTTCTTTTTAAAGTGAAGTATTACATGGGCTACTAATTTTAGGGTCAAACAGTCTTGCTTGTCACTGTTTCTGTTCAAGTACAGTATATTGTAGCTTTGACTTGGACAACCTTACAAAGCCAGTTATGTTTCCATGAATACACTATTTCCTTGGGGGCAAACCAAGTACATGATGTTATAATACAGTGTGAAGTACAAGCCTGCCTGTGGGTGTACTGTGTATCACAGATTCTCTGTCTTTTACCATTTGACGATAGTTCTTAATTGATGATGGTTCTCATTTGATGATAAAGGAATGCAGTCGTGTAATCAAGTAATTGAATTGTTCACATAAATGAACTGCGTAGGGTGTTCAGAAGGCTATTTCTTACAGTTCTTTGTTGTTAAAGGTCGGTGTAGATCTAGAGCTTTTAAACAATCAATTTAAAAGACAGGACAACAAAGCCACAGAAAGTGAATTAAAACCTCTATTATACTGATATATTGACCTTTAGATTTATATATCTGGTGCAGTGACCTACATGTACATACACTATTTGGAATTATGGGGGAGGTGCAGGGAATAGGTTTGGGAGTTGTTTAGAATAAGGGTACTTTGGGATAAATAGGAGTTTGTGATAAATGAAATCAATTTTAAATCAGTACTGTGTCGTCTCCATGAGATGGACAATTGACATGATTGATTGTTTTACTGTTAAACAGGGTAAAACATTTCTGCTGTTATTTGCGAGAAAATTAAGAAAGCCATTTATTTTGGCAAAATTGTATTTAATATAAATAACATATGCTTAAAAAGTTAATATTTAAGACCTTTGAAGTTTTCCAGACTAAACAAAACACTTCAACACCCCTTTTCCTTTCCACCCAATAAATTACCAGTATAGAATACATTAAATCTAAGAGTAATGTCATGAGCCAGTCTGGTTGTCTAGCAGGTATAGTTTTTGTTTACTGATTATGCAAGTCTGTCAAGTGAAACTAGACCTGTTTATTTTCTAACTCCATCATGGAATCTTCTGGAACTGCAGCCCAATTTTTTTCCCAATTCAACCATGAAGGTCTTCTTGTGATTGTATAATAATATTTTATGACTACACCTATGTTTAATGTGTATAGAGTGTGGAGTCTATTTAATCAGAACCATGGCACTGTGTGATATAACGTGACATTAAGAGACCCGTTAGCTATTACATGCACTATAGGGAATCAGCCATTTTAAAGTACAGTTGATTGATTTTTTTCTAAGTTCATTAGATCAGCTCTAATTTATGTTTATACAGAATAGAGGAACCAGTGTGTATCTGTATATTGGCATTCTGTTGATGAGGAAGATTCTAGAAGTACATGCATACTTCTAATGTGTATAAAAGCATGCAGAGTTTCATAACACTAATTAAGAGATGTCCATGTAAAGGATTATTACATAGGTCAGAATTTCTGCTATTGACACAATCTGAGTAGCTATACAAGGAAGTTGGCCTGATTAACCTCTTCAATTAAGGAAGAGGTCTCTGATTTAAGTGGGCATGATACGTTAGATCTATTGCACATTGCAGAGCCCTCTAGTTTTTATTATCTAATTTGACCAAATATTAACATGCTATTGACATAAGACTGACTTATCTCTTGTAGAGGTCAGGTATTTCTACAGGTGAGATGACCTAATTTTGTCGTTAAACTGTACGCAGTGACATGAAATGACCTATTGATGCACTTATTGATAGATTTTGTCTGATGTTTATATATCAACATCAGCTGATGCAGGGTGAAATCTTCATGTGATGTATGCTACGATGTACTTTTTCTGTTTACGTATATATACGAGATATTGATGTTGCATGTACTCAGAAAGAACAAGACATTAATCACAGTTAATATAAATTGTACATACGTCTAAGGTCCATGAATTAGTGATCGACCTATAAACTAGAATCAAGTTGGCCACATCCTCTTGCAATCTCAGTACTGGTCCCCACTGGGGCCCCACTATTTTACCCCTCACAGACCCCAATCCAAGTTCAGACCTCTCACATCAAAGAAGTTGATCTAAAGCAAAAGTCATTGTTTCAAGAGTGTTTAACAGTTTTAGTAATAAATTAAATCATGAAACATGCAGCAGTTTGTAACTGCATGTAATAATCTATACTTATAAATTAATAAATTTTGCAAATAAACTCTGAAACGGCTGCACCAGGGTTCTTACTTATTCATCTAACAATACACTAGATACAAGATGATGTCCGTAAACTATATTTAGATTTCACTCGCATAGTAAGTATCGTACATTAAATTAAAAGTCTACTTTCATTTTCTATAAACAATCATGAAATAGCAAAAACGTGAGTATGGTGGCATTTCCGGTTTGCGGATCTAAGTTACTGGCAATTTTTAATGAAACTGACAACAAGCAATCGTTTATTTATTTCATAAAATGTCATCGCTGAATTATTTAATCAAAACTTGATTTAAATGATATAAAAGAAAGAAGTTGTGATAACCGATCGAAAAGGGAAATGTGCAAATTATTTTCATCATTCACCGATCTTAATATTGACGGAAGCTTCTAGAACAACAAACAGCATCGAGCCCGATGTTAAAAAGAAAAACGGGAGATTATAGCATTAAAATTTAAGCTTTTGTGTGATTGTTCATCGAAAAAATGTTAATTCATCGATAACACTATAAGTTGTGAATATATTTATATATCGAAAGGCTATTACATATATATGCAGTAGGTTTTTCTGATAAATTTTTCGGTAAAATCTGTATATATTCCTTACTGAGAGCATCGTGGCAACGAACCCGAGGTACAGTTTGTACTTCTTGTTAAACTTGCTTACATGAAGAGAGAAAATTAATGAATAAGGTATTGTTCAAATACAATTAAAGCTGTGGAATTTTGTGCTTTAATCCAAATATTTCATTTTTTTTCTGAATACAGTCTTTTGTATCAAATACTCGGCCTTTTCATAGCTAGGGCGTTAAAAGCTAATTTTTACACGGGTACTTGGGTCTTGGTTTATAAATATGTATGTACCTTATTAATATTAAAAAAAAGTAAAGTTCATTTTTTACAAATCAATAAGGTACATACATATTTATGAACCAAGACCCAAGAACCTGTGGATCTCCCTCCCCCCCCCCCCCCAAGAAAATCAATTTATCAGTAAAAACTGCATGTTCGCGGCTTTTATCATTCACCAGAAATGAAATAAGAGCATCTGGAGTACAATATCCATAACATAGTATAACAGGTTTCACAATAGACGTCAGTTACAATGAAATTGTTATTTTTCAAGTTTTTACAAAAAAGGGGTGTGTGAGGAGACATAGATCTACTTCATGTGGGATTTTGAACAAAGTATTTCTTCCTGCTATAGGTCTGTAGGCTGTCAGTACAAATTACAATATATTTTCTATCGGTAGCACTTGGTATATATTCAATTTCCTGCGCTTGCGCGGGATTTCATCTAGTGAAGCTATACTTGTGCCATTAGAAATGGGAAAAGGATATCTCTCTCACTTAAACGTACAAGTTTTATGACATGTAAATGTGATTGATAGGTTTATTGGTATAATCAATTTCTCAGCTGTTTAAAGCAGTATGAGCTGAATTTTTGAGAATTTTATTTTGCTGTTAAAATGTGTTATTATGATAAATTTGTATGTAATTTAAAGTTAACCTTAATGTTTATGATCAATTAGACTAAAATAAAATATTAAATTTTTCAGAGGAAAGATTTCTGTACAATGGAATGTATAATATTCTATAAGAAATCAATATTGTACAGGAGGACAATAATGTAATTTTGCTTCAATCAAAGCTCATAGTATAAATAGTTCTTCCATCGCAAATATGAACAACAGAAGTTAATAAATGTTCTTTTTTCTGTCATTAAATAGTTAATTACAATTTTGCAACAAAAATTAAGTTGCAGCTCATATTGCTTTAACAATCAACAGAATGGTCTAGCAGTAAAAATAAATGATGTACATGCAGCATATATTTTTATGTATCTTCACTGATTATCATTATAATGAAGGATGTATAGAATAAGTGAAAGTGATCCTGAGTGATATATAGTTATACCCACTCATTAATTGATCTAAAAACATTAAGTAATCTGAAGTGAACTGGAATTTGGACTTCTAATTGTCAAATATATATATTTCATCATGTTCATACAATCCCCAAAGATAAAATTATTATGTTTGTTCTATATGTTAATACCAGTAGATAAAAAAAATAACTTGTGATACATACAGTAGAACCAGGCAGTATTTTTCAAAACTATGTTTTAGTGCAATGTAGTGAATGCATGATATTGCAGTGCAAAATGGAAGGTTTTTTTGTTTTTTTTTTTAAACATTTATCTGATTGAGTATGGTAAACTAAAATGCTCTAATTTATTATGATAAATTGAGATATTTTGTTTTAAAAATGATATAGCAGTCAGAGATTTATTATATATTTGTCAGATAAACTAGAAATATCCCCATTTAGTGTATTCTTCATTTAGATGACATCTGATTTGTCACTTAATTACACTTGTAAACATCTGTGTAGATTTTGTGTAGATGTGTGGCCACTTTCACAAGGACCTGTTTCCTGGTTTCCGTGGCAATAATAGTAGGATCTGTGTCTCTCAATGTTTGAACCCTTACTAGAGATAATTAAGGCTGAAATCATTGGAAACAGAGAATGAATCCGTAATAATAAACATGCTGATTTTAAGTTATGAAATTGAATAAATCTATCTCACGTACAGTGAAAAATTATTTTGCGTAATGCACATGATCCTGACCTTGATCCTGACCTTTATTTGACCTTTAGCAGAATTACTGTAGAAGGGGAATTTTTATCGAGATGCAAATTTAGCAATTTGTCTTAAAAATCAGTCTTTAATTTTAGCAAGAAGTAATTTTAACAATTTTATGGTGCAAAGAAAGATAACGGTAACCTCTAATGTGGAATAAATTGTTAGTGATATTTAATTTTAGCAATCTCAACATCCTTGCTAAAAATGCCAAAATTGAATCCTCGCTAAAATTTATGCTTATACGGTGTATTGTAATGTAAGATGACACCAAAGTTGAGTGTTACCATGTACACATGGTTCTGATAGCTTTGTTGACTGTTGTAGATTCCATGAACAAACCCAGGATGAAACTTTGACCCCTCAGTATCTTCAAGACATGATCCCCATGTGTATGGAGGGTTACAGGTAAGTTATCTCACCTGTATTACCAGGTAACAGTACAACAGGACATGATCCCTATGTGTATGGAGGGTTACAGGTAAGTTATCTCACCTGTATTACCAGGTAACAGTACAACAGGACATGATCCTCATGTGTATGGAGGGTTACAGGTAAGTTATCTCACCTGTATTACCAGGTAACAGTACAATAGGACATAATCCCCATGTGTATGGAGGGTTACAGGTAAGTTATCTCACCTGCATTACCAGGTAACATTACAACAGGACATGATCCCCATGTGTATGGAGGGTTACAGGTAAGTTATGTCAGCTGTATTACCAGGTAACAGTACAACAGGATATGATCCTCATGTGTATGGAGGGTTACAGGTAAGTTATCTCACCTGTATTACCAGGTAACAGTACAACAGGACATGATCCCCATGTATATGGAGGGTTACAGGTAAGTTATCTCACCTGTTTTACCAGGTAACAGTACAATAGGACGTGATCCCCATGTGTATGGAGGGTTACAGGTAAGTTATCTCACCTGTTTTACCAGGTAACATTACAACAGGACATGATCCCCATGTGTATGGAGGGTTACAGGTAGGTCATCTCACCTGTTTGTATGGTAGATTTTTAGGATAATTGTGCTTCTAAAAGGTAAATGAAGAAATAAAAAGAAATGAGTTAGATTGTTATACAGTTTATATGTATGCTGAACATAATTATTTGATAAATTATTTTTGAAAAAAGGTACTTAAAATGAGTGTATAATTTCTAATTCACTGTTGTTGCTTTCCTTTTGTAGACAACAATTTTCAACAACCAGAATTCCCTATGAGACAATAGATCAGCTGATGAAATATGAAGATTCCAAACATATCGTGGTATACAGGTTTGTGGGGATATTTTTGACATTAGCAATGTTACATGTATTTATACTTGAAGGTACCTGAGAATTTTATACTGTAAACATATTACATATGGCGGTGTATTCTTTTTAGTGCCTTCTGTCTGAAAGCAACTTTTGCTAATTCAAGTATAACACTAAATGTATTGCACATATACACATAAATATGAACATTAACAAAATGCACTGAATCAAATCTACGCTAACTTGTTTAAAAATCAATTTCAGCCAAATGTAATATAAACATTTACGATATTTACAATGAATCCCTATGAGTTTCAGTATTTTACTTTAAATTATATTCTACTATTATGTTCTATTGATAGAAATGGTGCCTATTACAAGCTGGATGTGTTAGCTCCGGACAGTGATGGTAAGAAGAGGCTACTGACAGTCACAGAATTATACGACCTCCTACAACAGATAGCTCACCAAACCCAAGGTAGGTACTGACAGTCACAGAATTGTACAAACTTCTACAACAACTCACCAAACCCAGGGTAGGTACTGACACAGAATTGTACGAACTTCTACAACACATAGCTCACCAAACCCAGGGTAGGTACTGACGGTCACAGAATTATACGACCTTCTACAAGACATAGCCCACCAAACCCAGGGTAGGTATTGATGGTCACAGAATTATACGACCTTCTACAAGACATAGCTCACCAAACCCAGGGTAGGTACTGACACAGAATTATACGACCTTCTACAAGACATAGCTCACCAAACCCAGGGAAGGTACTGATGACACAGAATTATACGACCTTCTACAACACATAGCTGACCAAACCCAAGGGTTGTTATATATGTAAAATTATAGTTACAGATAAATTATGCCTCTAGTGAGGTTGTCTTTCTGTTAGGACAAATAGTATAGTTATGCATCAATGCATACAAATACTTTTGTGGAAACCATTCTCCTGGAACTATTTTAAAAGGAATTTTCTGGTTTGTAAGTGCTACATATTAATTTATTACACCTTTGTTCTCAGCTAATTTCTGTTTTAAATATATGTATTCCTGAACAGAATTGAACACCTGTGATTTTTTTTTATCCAGATGTTGAAGAGGCGTCTCGTGTTGCTGTGTTTACATCAGAAAGGAGGGACACGTGGGCAAAGGTCAAGAACTGAGTTATACTCAATCTGACATTAAATTAAAAGAAAAAAAAATCATTGTTTAATTTTAATTAGACATCAATCAGAAAAAATATCTCTAGTGATTTCTTAAGTCTTTTACTGGAACTGATCAAGCTTGTATAATTTTAACAATTAAACTGCAGAGTATTAATTTAGAAAAGTCAAGTATTGCTATAGAAGAAAGTATGCAGAACAGGAAAGAAAAATGCTGTTAATTAATTATTAATCAATTATGTTCATAATTAATCATTAATCAATAATGTAAATAATTAATTATTAATCAATTATGTTAAAAGGTGAGACAGAGACTATTAATGACCAGTAACAGATCAAGTCTGGAAGCCGTAGAATCCTCAATTTTCTTTGTTTCTCTGGACGATGTTGCCCCCAAGGTCAGCACTGCTTTTATTTATAGCTAAATGAAAGAAGTGATGGTCACAGTATTTTAGTGTTTAGTGCTATATGTTAACATGTTTTATTTTAAGAACATTCTGTTCTAGACTATTTTTAAGAGTTTTGTTCTATTTTTAGAATGTTTTCTATTTTTAGAGCATTGAGGAAAATGGAACCTTCACAATGGTGGGAAATGGTTTCAACAGGTAAGGTACAGGGTCTATAATCAAAGGGCACGGGGACTACAGGTTGTTCTGGAATAGAATGTGTCAAATTTATAAATTAGTCGCTAAATTGTAATGAAACCTAAAAGTATGTCTTTGAAAAAAGAAATTTTTAATAGTGTTAAATACAGTTAATGATACATTGTTGTATATACAAGCAAGAGATGTACAGTAAAATTAGAAGTATTTCTATTAAACAGATACAGAAATTTTCTCTTGATTATCTGCATGATTTGTTTACATATTTCGTGATCTTTATAGAATTTGAAGGAATGCAGAAATGTCTTTAGGATTTGATCACTCTAAGTAGACCTTTAACCTTCTTTTATTGGCCTTTGTTAGGTGGTTTGACAAATCGATACAATTCTCGGTGTTCCGTAACGGTAAAGTGGGAACAAATGTGGAACACGGAAGCGTGGACGCCACTGTGAGTCAACACGTCACATTTCACTTCCTGTTTGTGTTGTGCACAGCGTGGCTTAGAATTGTAGACTGGAATATAGAATCCCTTGTAGCATCTGTATATTAACATAAAGGTTTTCCTTGTTTTGTTTACAGTATTGATTAGAAAGTTTGAAATTGCTGGGAAAGTGTTAATCAAATTATTTTTGTCTACCGTAGATCACTGAATTTTTGCGACACCTTATTTTCGCGAGATAGCTATTTTGTATTTACTAGTGAGACAAAATTTTCACAAAATATGCTTTTTGTTGTATGTAATCCTTAACAATACAAATATAAGCGAGAATAAAATTTCCGTGAGCAGACAGACTTGCGTTATTAGTTGCAAAAATAAAGTTCTCGCTAATAAAAAGAGATTTATAGTATATAAAAAGTTTAATACATATATATACTACTATGACATGGAAAGCTTTTATATCTTGTATACTCCTACTCTTATCTGTGTTAACCTCTGTTTTGTTTCACTTTACACACTGCTTCAGAAGTATTGCAGTCTTGACTGCTGAGGAACATATATTTTTGTGTGAAATTTTTCTCGTAAAATTTTTGTTGTCATAAGAGGCACGGAGCAAACAGTACTATTACCAAATTCCTTTGTTGCTTTACTCTTTCATAAAGTTATCAATCTGAATGCACACAGTAAGGTTTATTTGGAATGATCAGGGATATAGAGTATTTACAGATATAAAAATGATTTAGGGATCCTGGGCAACATTCTTAATTCTTTATAAACTTTTAGGGTTATATTAAACTCTTTTATATATATATAAAGAATTTATGAATATAATGAATTGATTTAATGTGTTAATTGAAGGTTAAGAATAAAAAAAATTCTCCTTATAGAGCAAATTTAATTAAATTGACATTATATTTTGTAAGTAATTATTATTTAAATAATCAATCTGACTAAAGCCAGACCTGTATTACATTATCACATGTGATAGCATAAATAGAGGTCTGGCTTTAGTCAGATTGTGAAATAATAATAGATGTCATGATAATATTGATTCTTTTTTATGGAGGTAGTAAGGTAAATCCATAAGTCCAGACGACTTTGTTATAACAGAGTTTTACCGTAGGTGGGTGATTTTTGTGTGTGTCAGAACTCATCTTTGCTGAAAAAAAACCCAGAAACTGATAAGTATATGAAATGACAATTAATTACTCATCCAAGGAGGGAAACTTTTTTTTGTATTTTTTTGGGGGAAGGTGAATAATTAGAGGTGTTGCAAAATGACAATTAATTAGATCAAAGGTGGGAAACTTTTTTTAGCTCTTGGGAAAATATGAGGAAATGGAGGGTAGAGGTTCAAGTAGTTGACAATTTGATAGAACTATTGCTCTTAAGCAGTGTGTAAATTAATAACCTTTAACTTGTTTGTTTTATATAGCCTACATCCCAGGGTTCCACAGGGAATTAATCTAACTTGTAAAACTGTATCCAACTGTTTATCAGCTTTGCATCACAAGAGTATTTACATATAATGAAAGCAATAAGTACATGTACATATAGGTGTAGTAGTTTGAATTTAGACCAGCTGACAGAGGCAAGAGAAAAGAATCTGATTGTTATATTGCAATAAAAACAGTGAGCACTCAGAATTTGTCAAGAGCATGCTGGTTTTTTTTTTTTTTTTGAGGTCTTGTTGGTAATTGTCTGATGACAGCATGTTACACATGTTAGGTATTTTCTGAGGAGAGCATACTGGGTATTGTCTGAGGAGAGAATTCTGGGTATTATCTAAGAAATTGTCTGAGGCTGGGTAATATCTGACAAGGAAATGCTGAGAATTTTGTGAGGAGAACCTGCTGGGTTTTGTTAAGGAGGGAATGCTTTGTGTTTTCTGAGAGGGGCATGCTGGTATTTTCTGAGAAGAGCATTCTTGGTATTTTCAAAGTGTAGCATGATGGGTATTTTCTTAAGAGGACATGCTGGATATTGTCAGAGAAGGACATGCTGGGTATTATCTAAGAATTGTCCAAGGAAAGCATGCTGAGATTTTTCTGAGAAGGGCATGCTACGAATTGTTTGAGAAATTAACCTTTCTCTCTTTATCAAAAATGATAGGCACTAACCTGTCTTTTATCTCTGCACTTGCCTGCCATCTACATCTAGACTTTGTAGTATTAAAAGAGAGATTGCATTGTCTGAACAGATTATATGTAATACTTACTTAAATCCAATTACATTGTTTGTTACTGACAGCAAAGGATTTTTCTCACAACTGCTCTCTATACTAGTCTATTAATAGATACTGAAAGTACATGCTATATGTCCATAGCACCTGTTATTTGTCACCTGTTATTTGTGATGTTATTTGTCACCTGTAATTTGTGCCGTTATTTTTCACCTGTTATTTGACCAGAATACGAGAGCAGCTACAGACTTCTTCCCCAAGGAAGTGCATTTGGGAAATTTAATTATGTCCACTGGAATATAATTTACTACAATTCTGATTTTTTCAACAGGTGGTTTGATAAGTCAGCTCAGTTTATAGTGTATGACAATGGTCGTAGTGGGGTGTGCGGTGAGCACTCGTCCGTAGATGCGACAGTGAGTAACTGACCCAGGAGCAGGGCTTATTGCACTCAAGTTTAAAACTTCCTCTTCATAAATAAAAAAAATCATGTTATTTTTACAATCTGAAAATTATTTTATTTATGAAGATAATTTGTAAAATAACAGTGTGGTCCTGTTGTTTATTGATAGTTTTTATTGGAATTTGGGGAGGGTTTTGACTGTTAATTTTGGTATACTGTCAAATTTAAATGAAATTTTGTTATTCAATTTAAGCTTGGACTTGGGTATTAAATGTTGAGAATTATTAGTAATATCTGCAACCGTATCAAATATAATAATTTGTAAAAGACATATGAAAGTAAAATAAAACTTTTTTTTGAAAAGAGACATAATAACAGTCCAGGATACAAAGTTTTTTTTTTTGAAAATTCATGCTAACCTGTACAAATTCTGCTGATTCTTTACTAGTGTATATTCATTTTCCATGTTCTTGCCACCTTTTGAAAGTAACACTGATGTCTACAAGTTTGTAAAAATAACAAACAAACTCCAGGCCAGAAGTTTTCTATGTCAAACTCTTGTGTAATTAAGTTTTGGAATAAGAAAGGATGTTCACTGACAAATATATACAGTCAAGTCTGGATTACTGACACACTGTTTGAAAGAGACTCCTTTCTTTTCTGTCACATCTAGAGTTTATTGTATGAGGTCTGATATTGTCTGCTAAAGGCAAGCCTTTTGTTTTTAAAAGCATTTTTGATTATTTATCTCTTTTTTTTTGTTTTCTAGATTCCATGTCTTGTTTGTGCATGCTATTTTCAGGCAGTACTTCAAAGAATGACTTTATCATCTTTTTCTTTTAAGCTGCTAATAACTACTAACACATAAACTTATGGTTATTAATCTCCATGCTAAATTATTTTCAGTTGGTGATAAATTCTTATTAATAGTACTTAATGTTGTATCAGACACCAGTAGTTGTCATTAAAAGAAGGAAAAAGATTATAATAAAAATACTTTTTACAAAGATCCTAAATAATTAACTGCATATAGAATGGGAAATAAAAGGATTTTTAAAATGTTTTCATTGTTTGTGCAGTTGCCAGGGCGACTATGGGAGTATTTCCTGCAGAATGAGAAGTATACAGAAGATGGACAAATCATACGTGAGAAATACAAGCGAACACTCCCTCAACCTCAGAGGTGGGTATTAATAGAACACTCCCTAAACCTCAGAGGTAGGAATCAATAGACGCGAGCACTCCCTAAACCTCAGAGGTGGGTATTAATAGAACACTCCCTCAATCTCAGAGGTGGGTATTAATAGAACACTCCCTAAACCTCAGAGGTGGGTATTAATACAACACTCCCTAAACCTCAGAGGTGGGTATTAATAGAACACTCCCTCAATCTCAGAGGTGGGTATTAATACAACATTCCCTTAACCTCAGAGGTGGTTATTAATAGAACACTCCCTAAACCTCAAAGGTGGGTATTAATAGAACACTTCCTCAACCTCAGAGGTTAGTATTATTGGAACACCCCCTTATAAATAGAACACTCCCTAAACCTCATAAGTGGGTATTAATAGAACACTCCCTACACCTCATAAGTGGTTATTAATAGAACACTCCCTCAACCTCAGAGGTGGGTATTAATAGAACACTCCCTAAACTTCTGAGATGGATATTGACAGAATGTGTACTAAGTTGCAGGTTTATGGAATCCCTGCAACACCCCTCCCCCTTTTTAAAAAATCCGAGATAGGTTTTAATGGAGCACTCCCTAAACCAAACACCCTCAATAGAGATGGATACCAAACATCCTCAATAGAGATAGATACCAAACACCCTCAATAGAGATAGATACCAAACATCCTCAATAGAGATGGAAACCAAACATCCTCAATAGAGATGGAAACCAAACACCCTCAATAGAGATGGATACCAAACATCCTCAATAGAGATGGATACCAAACATCCTCAATAGAGATGGATACCAAACATCCTCAATAGAGATGGATACCAAACATCCTCAATAGAGATGGATACCAAACATCCTCAATAGAGATGGATACCAAACATCCTCAATAGAGATGGATACCAAACATCCTCAATAGAGATGGATACCAAACATCCTCAATAGAGATGGATACCAAACATCCTCAATAGAGATGGATACCAAACATCCTCAATAGAGATGGATACCAAACATCCTCAATAGAGATGGATACCAAACATCCTCAATAGAGATAGATACCAAACATCCTCAATAGAGATGGATACCAAACATCCTCAATAGAGATGGATACCAAACACCCTCAATAGAGATGGATACCAAACACCCTCAATAGAGATGGATACCAAACATCCTCAGTAGAGATGGATACCAAACACCCTCAATAGAGATGGATACCAAACACCCTCAATAGAGATGGATACCAAACATCCTCAATAGAGATGGATACCAAACATCCTCAGTAGAGATGGATACCAAACATCCTCAATAGAGACGGATACCAAACATCCTCAGTAGAGATAGATACCAAACATCCTCAATAGAGATAGATACCAAACACCCTCAATAGAGATGGATACCAAACACCCTCAATAGAGATGGATACCAAACACCCTCAATAGAGATGGATACCAAACACCCTCAGTAGAGATGGATACCAAACACCCTCAATAGAGATGGATACCAAACACCCTCAATAGAGATGGATACCAAACATCCTCAATAGAGATGGATACCAAACACCCTCAATAGAGATGGATACCAAACATCCTCAATAGAGATGGATACCAAACACCCTCAATAGAGATAGATACTAAACACCCTCAATAGAGATGGATACCAAACACCCTCAATAGAGATAGATACCAAACACCCTCAATAGAGATGGATACCAAACATCCTCAATAGAGATGGATACCAAACACCCTCAATAGAGATGGATACCAAACACCCTCAATAGAGATGGATACCAAACATCCTCAATAGAGATAGATACCAACCATCCTCAATAGAGATAGATACCAAACATCCTCAATAGAGATGGATACCAAACATCCTCAGATCAAGAAAGGGGGCATAAATTTAACACACTTTCCTATCTCAAGGATAGAATACATTCATTTGAAATTATTCAGTACTCTCCAAACCTTAGAGGTGGATGTTATACAAAATCTCTAAAACATACCACTCACTAATCTTCCTTACAGAGAGAGGTTACACCCATTTTGTCACTAAAAGTAATGTTAACTAATTAAAAAAAAAAAATAAAACAAAACCTGTACCCACACATGCAAACACCCCAGAGATAGGTATAAATCAACAACCTCCAAACTTGTGAGGTATGTATCAACGGAAATATTTCTGAATGTGTAGAGACTGACATATACTGTATATATTAATCATGGACCAAACCTTTTAGTTTGGGGTGTTTTATGCTATAATATCTTAATTTTTTAATACTCTGGTTTCTACATGTAATATTAAATACTTCAACATTGTGTTACAGGTTAGAGTGGGATCTAACAGACTTTGAAGCAGATATAGATGAAGCCTACAACAACTTCAGAAAACTGGTAACTATGAAGATATATCTATTCTCACAGATAGGAGACTAATACATTCATATGGAAACTCTATAAAGATTTATTTTCATGAGTGCCAATTTTCATTACAATTTTGATGGGAGTGATTCTGTGAATGCACATTTGTTAATTAAAAGATAAAGTACAGTGTAGTTCTTAATTCATAATCGTATTCATAGAGGTTTAAAATGTTGGAAAAGCATTACTCTCTATAAAATTATGAAGACATTTAAGAAAAGCTGCCAAATTTAAGTTCTCACAACCCTGTCTGGATCAATGAGGCTCCTTTGTACTCGAGGGTTAGAAAAATGTCTCAAGGGTGTAGTGAGTAGTGATCTGAATGGATGTTAAAGTGTGTTGAGGGTCCTGAGAGAGGAATTGTTGATATTTGAATTGATTTTTGGTTAATTATTCTCAAGAAATTTTTTCTTTTTCCAGGCAGATGAATTTGATCTGATCGTGACCTCCCCTGACTACGGTAAAGGCTTCATTAAGAAGAAGAGGATGAGCCCGGATGGCTATATACAAGTAAAAAATAGATATAAAAATAAAAAAGAACTCTTCTGATACAAGGCATTCATAATAGAAGTATATTGTATGGAGAACCGCAAGAGAATCTATTTCTAATCACATAAAATTTTCATTTGTAAGTGTGTCTCTTAATGATAATTTTATTTTTACACATTTTTTGCCATTATAATATGTATACCTGTCATATGTGGGTTGAGTGAAGAGTTGTCTAACCTGATTTCTATTTTCTTCACCAGATGGCTCTCCAGCTGGCCTACTACAAACTACACAACAATATTGCCAAGACATATGAATCAGCTTCTACAAGGTGAGAGAAACTGTACCACTGTAGCTTTAGACAAACACACTGATCTGTAGGAGTTGATTTGCTCCCACAGGCAAAGGGCACAATATTGTAAAAAAATTGAATAAAGTAAACATACCCTCTGCTTTGAAAGTTTTGAGTCTGAATATTCAGTCCTACTCTAGTTTGTTAGGGCACCTTATCACAGGAATAGAGGCAGTCAATGAAATAGAGCCAATCAATGAAAATTCGTTTTCAGAATGTTTTGTTCGGGAAGAACTGAAACAATCCGGCCAGTTTCTGAATTTTCCACCCAGTGGGTAAAGAGTATGTTCAATCAGCGAGCGACAAGAGAGCAGCGTATCATGCTACTGAAGAGAGCCGTGCAGTATCAGACACAAAACAAAATCGATGCCAGTCTGGGGATGGGATGGGACCGACATTTATTTGGGATGTACGTGGCGTCTAGGGAGCTGGACATACCACAACCAGCCTTGTTCAAAGATAAGGTATACTGTCTGTTTGGTTGCCTACTTTTTGTTGATTAAACAATACATATAGGTCTTATAAATTACAACTGACATTATTTTAATTTATTAAATAGAAAGGGTTATTTATAAATTACAAGAGATTTTGTGTTAATTTATTAATTAGTAAGGGTATAAAATAATACAGTCAAACCTCATTATCTCAAACTCGATGAGACAGAAAAAAATACTTTAATATGCTTGAGATGACGGAGGATTTAGAATATCCAGGGTAAACTACTTAATAAGGAATTAGAGGTTGGGACCTCCAAGTCACTTTGACATATCCATGGTATTCGAGATATCAGTGTTGGAGATACCGATGTTAACTGTAAATATCTTGATACATAATAGTAATTCTTTTTTTACAGAGTTTTTGGATGCATGATGCCCTGAGCACGTCACAGACTCCTACCCGCTATGCGGACGGTTGGACAATGGAGAAGTGCTGTATGGGGGGAGGATTTCTAGCCGTGGACCCAGAGGGATACGGTGTCTCATACATGATCTATGGAGAGGACCACAGTAAGATGATCAGTTATCAAGAATTTTACTTAGTACAGGTAAACTTCGTTATCTCGACATCGACGGGACCATCGGAAAATGTCGAGATATCCGAGGTGTCGAGATATCAGAGTTGAGACTTGACGTCCAAGATTTCATTGCATAGCAAAACAGACAAGCTTTTTATATGTATATGACTTTGATATAGACTATAGCTCAACATATTTCAGAATTCCCTCTATTTTTATTAAAAATCTAAGAAGTTATTTTAAAAATCTTGTTTATAAAACTTGTTCTTTATCGAAATCTTTCTAAATTCACAAAGTTTCAGCACAAAGTTACAGCATTGAGCTGCATTCGCGTGTAACTTGCCTTTTCGTCAGAACAGGATACGAAATGCGCTCTATAAACTTTGAACCGTATAAAGTCGACATCCGATATACGGTAAAAAAAATAAAATAAATGCGGATTATTTTTTTCTTATTTTATTCTGGAAGAGTGTACATTAAAATTAATTTTTTTAAAGAGATTAGTGTATCTAAACTTACGTAGTGATGTTACAGATGCACGAATTACGGCTGATTCGGTCAATCGTGTCGTTAATTGGATTGTTTCCTGTTGAATACATTTTAACTACAAAATATCATTAAAACATTTTTTTAATTCCTTAGTTTAAATTTTTCCGTGTGTTTGTTATTCATTGTAATTTAGTTATCTTTTTCAAATTTAAAAGTTATGTTACGTTTCAATATAAATAACATTCTGTACATTTACGCAGAATCGTGTAGATTTAGCAATGATATTACCCAACTTCTCAAAGACGCCGAAGGGCTTGGGATTCACCTACAAACACAGTCTATAAAATTAATTAAGCAGCGTGCAGTCAAAACATGGGTGTGAAAGGTGTGAAACTTTGACGACGTCGAGATACCCGGAGTCGTCCGTGCGTGACGAGCGACCCTATCTGACAAACAGTTAGGTTCAGTAGAGCAGAAAATTGCCGATGTCGACATATGGGTAAATTTTGCTCTTGGGACTATGAATATACGTCGAGATAACCCGGGTTGTCGACATTACCGAGGTCGACATATCAGAGTTTTTGCAAATCATTTATACAGTAAATACTGCCGGGACCGCGGAAGGATGTCGACATATCCCAGGTTGTCGACATATCCGATGTCGAGATACCGAAGTTTACCTGTATTTGATAAGTCTCATGCACTTAAAAATTTTGTAACAAGCAGTGCAGTATTATTTTGAATGATGACCAGCATTAAGGTTCTGGTAATTAAGGAGTATTTCTATTCATGTTAGATGCTTTATCAACAAAAAAGTAATTAATTGCATTCTATATTGTTTTTCAGTAAAATTCCATGTGACATCACACCGAAATTGTGATAAAACCTCATCTGCTAAATTTGGAGATGCTATTGTGGAATCTATGAATGAAATGAGGGAACTGTTGTCATAGAAACATCACAGGATTCTGATTGGCCAGCTGAGGAATTCACGCTTGACTGACCAGGAGAAATTCAATGTTCGACTGACCAAAAGGAATTCCACACTTCACCAACCAGGGTGCACATGTTCAATGCAATTCACACTTGTGTCATGTCGTTTGATATTTTTATCTTGTTTTGTGATATTTGAGGTCATTATTATGTGAGGGTTTCTCATTTATTTATTAGTCTTTGCTTCATAGTGCATATTTTTATATCTTGCTGCTCTAAGCTGAATAACTTTTCTTCATTAAGAAGTAAACTCTGTTACTTGTATGTGTTCCCCGTGCCTTTGCTTGTATTTTGTTGTAGATGTTCTTGGATGTTAAAAACCTTCCATAGCATTTTCCTTTCACAGTGAATCAGAAAATTTGACCATTTACCGGTAGTTCTTATATATAAGACAGTGGTACATTTGTATGTTTCCTTGTGTTTAGTTGTGTAGAATTTAGTACTATCTGTATGTAGTAATTACAAACTATATGATGAATATTTTTAGAAATAATTGATTTTATTTATCCTTTTTCTAACAAAGGATTTAAAAAATGTTATCTTTTTACTAGCTATCTTTACAAAGATGGTAAACCTGTAAAATTTTGTTTATTTTTAATTTGTTTCATCTCTGAAATATTTTACTGGTATACTGGTAAAATCACTTATTTTCGTTTGTCAAATTTTGATGGATTGAAGTAAAAATATTGTTCTGTTGGGATTTAATTCCTGGTTAGTAGACAAACATGATACTTTAACTACAAACTGGAACATTTCTTGGATGACATGAATCCTTGAATCTTTTCATGAAAACAATGAAAATTAACCCACATTAAAAATTAGTGATATCACGGTATTTATATTTTATACTGGTACAGATATTGTATGTGTGACCAGAGTTATCTAATCTTGACCCTGTAACCTTGACCTTTTGTGATGTAATAATGTGTTTTATCATTCTTGACAGAAATATTCAAGCTCTGCTTTATCATTTATGAATTTAATAAGCTAAGGGTTCAGTTACCAGTATTCAACATTTGCATAAATCTTTACAGCTAATATCTATTTTATATTTATATCTAATATCTGTTTTACTTTCAAAAAAAAAAAAACGAGATGTTAATCTTAGTTGCTTACAAGGAAAGTACGGTACTATGTTTTTCTGTCTATCTAAGACAGAAGATTTTATGGAAACCAGAATATATCATACACATACCCACTTCCTATTTATTTATTTTATTCCAAACTCATGTTTTTAATTTTTTTTTAAATAAGGAACATTTAAAATTCTTACACAAAGAATGATTCGTATTGAAGAAAAAGTCTACTGAGTGGTGATGAACTTCTGACCTTTGTCAGCCATCTTGTGGATGAGGAAACAAAATTTAGTCAACAATATTGACCTCTAGTTAAAATAATTTGATTGTCATCAAATTATATTAGTTTTAATTTTATGCCTCTCTCTCTCTCAGAAGAATGGTTTTCTTTCACATATATGGTGTTCATTATATATTTTCTTTGAGCTCATATTGTAGAAATCTCCATATGGTGCTTAAAATTACTAAATACACGTATACATCAATAAATTTGAATGAATAAATTAAAATGTAAATAATGTAAAAGTACAACTCAAATTGCAAATTCTTCAAATTGTATATTAGTGACTTGCTTCTCCTGTTACATCTGTCTTTACCGGTGTTTATTTATTGTTCACTTTATTTATACTTTCAACAAAACAGGCAAATTTGTCAATTAAGAATATTTTCTTTGTGTCCAGACATTTCTGGAACAAGTTAAACTTTGTTTTGAAATAGTTCTTAGTGTATAATGCTGTTTGTTTTGTTTGACTAGAACTTTTTATTTCAGAATAAATGTTTAAAATGAAATAAATCTGTATGCTTTCTATACATGTCATTGTTCTTAACTTGTGTAAACTCTCAAGGGAAAGAGGTGTGAATTCCCCCCCCCCCCCCCAAAAAAAAAAAAAATTGAAATTTCAGCATTGGATACTGAAGAAATCCATGTTAAGTCAAATTCGTGAAGTATATTAAGAAACGAATCTGTGTCAAGTACTTATTATTACCCATCATTATTTTTACCACTTGTTGTTTTGGCCCACTCACAAGCAAACAATTTCCCCTGTTTTTATTTTTTTTATCCAGATTGTCATTTAGAGATGAATTCGCACGGTTTTGAATTCATCAACTGATGACAAGGCCGCAAGGGGGGAAAATGAATCGGAGGGGAAATTCCTCAGTAAATATGGTTTTCTCCCATCTCCCTGTCTCTCTCTCTCTCTTGTAGGCTGAAAACAGATCGATAAATATAATTCTAAAAGATGGAGGAAAGGTTTCCAGATTCAACCAACTGGACAAATCTGCTGGAATGTAAGTCACCTCCAGCTAACATCCAACTCCATAGAAATTGTTAGTACAGAAGTAGTGCGTCATCGATCACGTGATCTGAGGGTCTGTATTGAATATATGCCAAATACTATAATATTTATATATAAAAATGAGATTGTCAATGAGCATTAAAGAAATCGGATTTCTTTAGTGCTGAAATATGCGACTTTGTGCTGTTTTCTACATGTTCTATGTAAATCTATACAAATTTTGCTTTTTAAAGTATGATTACAAAATTCTACATTTTCACAGTTATCCTGGCAAACATTCTTTATGTAACCTACATGTATATGAATTAGGGATGGCAACGAATATTCAAATATTCATTCGATGAGTTGATATTCGAATATGAATTTAAGATTCGAATATTCGGTGTTTTTCAGATTTCATAAAAAGAAGTACTGTGATTAATAAATTTTGATTGGAACAGTGCTGGAATTATCCCTGTTTAATTTACTAGCGATTAATTTCGATCGCCTGATTTCTTTCACTACTTTCTTATCTTATAAATCTACTAAATTACATGTATTTCGTTTTGAGTAAGGTGTTAAAGAATTGTACAATAATGCTTTATGTATAATACAAAACGTACTTTCATATTTTTTATTAGTTAGGTACGATCGGGTCTAGAGTCGAGGACAACAAATAAAATCTAAGAATGTCTAAAAGGCGTGAAGAGTATACTTATCAAAATAAAATTAATTGATCATTGAATGAATGTCCGATAGAATTAATCAGTAATTAGTATTGTAAAGGGCTTAATTTCAGAATAAATGTGTAAATTACTTATTATCTTGGGTTGTGCATAATCCTGAATTTTACATTCATTATCAGGAAATTAGTTAATTACATAGGGGAATTGTGTATGGAAATATTTCTTTACATTGTATCAAAGATTATAATCATATCTCTTATCAGGCAGATAATCGTAATTTATTACACGTATTGAAATCTTAACAGTATACCGTTAGGACTATCTAGCCTTTTGTTAGATGACTGATTCCTCACTAAGAGCTACCATAAATATACGTTTCGTTTGTTAAAATTATACTTCTCTACATTTAAATCAATTATTTATTTCAAACATTGACAAATATCAAATGGAATTTCTTATTGTACACCTACAAAAGTCTTCATACAATTTTACTTCCAATATAAGTATACCTACACCAAACCTTTCATGAGAGTAGGATGATGCATATTTAAAATAAAACAGATTATTTTTTTTATCGAATATTCGAATATATTCGAATACTTTTATTGAATATTCGAATATGAATTATTGACAAAATTGACATCCCTAAATTATGAATATAAATCTATGCGATATATTGCTGATTTCTGGAAAAGAGTTTGTGTTCTATATCTATAAGCAGACGACCAGGCCCCGGGGCCATAAAACTTGGACAAGCTCACTTTTGATCTCAGTCTCACTTTTCTTCTATTAATTCCTTTGGTAAAAGTGAGACTGAGATCAAAAATAAGCTCGTCTAAATTTTATGGCCCCGGAGCCAGTAGTTAATTCAAGGTCAGGGCACCGGCTAGGCGATGCTCAGTTTCTGTTTTTAAACATAAATACACGAAAGACAACTAATTCATGCTTCGAAATAAAGTCTCTGTTTTTGCAGAGATTGGATCCTCCTCTAACATAACTCGGAAATTTTCATGTCTATAGACTTGTGATTGGTTATCAACAAAATTACTTAGTAAAAAGTCACTCTGATTCAACACATAATACCCTGAGGTTGATATAAAAGGATGCTGGAGTTCCTCATTGACATCTACACTTGTATGTAGTCTTTGGAGATCACGTCTTCCGGCAACTTTTTAGAATACCTCTGGGCAATAATTGTGCTCCTTTATTAGCCGACCTGTTTTTATCTTCCAATGAAGCATAATTTATTCAAAAACTTCTACATGAGAAGATGAAAACACTTGCTATGGCCTTCAATTCGACATTCAGATATATCGATCTTTTTTCAATTAACAATAATTACTTCGATTCACATGTCGACTCGATATATCCCAGTGAACACGAAATGAAAGACACCAGAGTCTGAACATCTGATTCTTATTCTGATGTTTAATAGATGATAAGGGCGAACTAACGACTAAATTGTACGACAAACGAGATGACTTCGGCTTTTCCATCGGTCAATTTTCCTTCTTTATGAAGTAATATTCCATGATCATTTGCACTTGGTGTCAATGTCTCTCATCTTATTCGATACCCAAGAGCATGCTCTGAGTAGATCAAGTTTTTAACCGAAGCAGGTTACTGACAAATAAGTTGAAGTTACAGGGAGTTGAAGTTACAAAACCTTGTTTAAAGTCGAAATTTCGTAAATTCTATGCTCGTTATGATTACCTTGTAAGAAATATTTCATACCAATTGTTAGTCCTTTGTTTTATGCTAAATTTGACTACGTACGGATAATTTCTTTGACCTGATCAATACATGGGGCTCACGGCGGATGTGGCTAGTCGACAGGGGATGCATACTCCTCCTTGTCACCTGACCCCATCTCGGGAATTTCGAGGGGTCCTTGTTTTATGCATTGCTTACAGATTTGTATAGTTTGTAGGTTTTTTTCTAGATCTATCACTGTTCGTTAGCTTCACCTATTTCATGACATGATTTTAAAATTATGGAGTACTATAAGTGAGGATAAGGTGGGCTATATTCCAAGTTAAACATGACTTTGTATGATGACAATCTTTCTAGAGGGTAGAGGTGCAAAATGGTTTCTTTTTGTTTTCATGAACGAAAGTAAATAGGAATGAATTATCATCATGTGAAGGAAAGAAAATATGCATAACTTTATTTAAAAATGTAAAAAAAACAAATTCACATTGCAAAACGACAAACCAAAATAAACATCGTTATCTGAATTTCTTTGATGATTCTAGATTGATGTAGACTTCCTTCATCGGTTCCCATTTTACTTTGGTTTGCTAAAGGAACTTGAGAGAGAGGTTTCCCTTAAATCCGAAACTTTGTACACAATCGACAATCCCATAAATGTCAGTGGTCTTTTTGACGGCAGTGTGATCACGTGTGCAACTATATACGGACTATCAGCCTTATCATTTCTAAGATGTGGTTCTGCTTTCAAAATTATGTGTTTATTTGCGCGAGAGAAAGCAGTACAAGTGGCCTCGAGGAGAACATTAACTGTGGCCGTCATCTGCCGGTTTTCCACTTCGTCAGCAGAGTGACGAGTGCATTGATCGATGACGTAGTTCCATACCGTCTTCCCCAAAAAGTCGCACTCCTCTTCTATAGCAGTCAATAGCTGACGATGATAAACATGGCGCTTAAGACTACACTGATCCATTTCCGCTTTGGCTACTATGTAGATGAGGGCTTCACTATGAGTTTCAATGGCGTATCGCAAGAGACTTTTTCCCACCGTATCGCAGTTATCCATCTCGACACCGTGCCGTATTAGGGCATTTAGCATACTGACGTCTCGATTTTGGACGGCGTAAAAAACAGGTGTCCGTCCTAGGTCATCCTGATTATTGACCCCGGCTCGGTTTGTGATGAGTTCCAGAGCAATGCTGATGAATCCGCTTCCGGCGGCAATATGTAGCGGGGTCTGGCGGCGCCGGTTTGCAGCATTCACGCAGGCACCTTTAGATATCAGGATATTTGACATAATTTCAAGTCCCTTTTCTACGGCAAGGAATAATGGAGTTCGTAATTCTCGGTCCATGCTGTCGATGGAAGCGCCCTTCAATAGTAGTAGTTCTACAATAGATATATAACCTTTCTCTGCGGCATAATGCAAAGGCTTCCGTTGCTTTCCGTCACTTTGATTGACAGGTGCCCCGTATTCAACCAACAGCTCCACAATATCCGGGAAATTCTTCTCTACTGCATAGTGAAGTGCCGCTTTCATATCTTTATCAAGAATGTAAACCGAAGCACGGAGCTTTAAAAGGACACTCACCAAGTACTTCTTTCCGCTTACGGTTGCGAGCTTCAGTGGTGTTTCTCTGTCTTGATCTTTCTGGTTGACATAAGCTCCGTGATCGATTAATTCCTTGGCCACCGCCGTGAAGCCGTTTTCCACCGCGTAAAGTAGAGGAGACTTCCCGGATTCGTCCACTGCGTTAACCATGGCGCCATCTTTTATAAGTTGCTGCACCGTAAGGATCTGTCCACGCTTGGCGGCATGATGAAGTTCCGTCTTGCCCTCAATGTCGGCAAAATTCACGTCCTCTCCATGTCTTAGTAATTTATCTGTTAGTGTGGTTTCCGAGATTGTGGAGATACTACTTGAGAATGATTTTTCCTCCTCCAGTTTTACAGAAGGGAGGATATATGAAGTGTCACTGTCCAAGTCTCCAATGTGTATCGATCTTCTGGCGTATGGTGTTTCAACTTCGTCGTACGATGGAGCTGTGACTGTCTTAGGAACTAAAAACTTGGATTTCATAAAGGTGGTTCTTGGATATGGCGATGAAACGCTAAGAGATTTTTCAAATTTAGGTAACTCGAAGCCAACATAATATTTTTCCTCCATTTTCTCATTGTCAGTATAAATTTCCCCTAAATAAATTCAACGACATATTTTTAAAGAAATGCAAAGATGGAAAAGCAATATGATGATATCATTGATTTAATTGTCTTACGTACTGGGTTTCGAAAAGGGCCATCTTCCAGGAAAGGAGCTCTCCTGATCGACCTTTCCTTCCATCACTCGTCCGACGTTCTCATGAGTCCGAGCGCAGTTGTCATTGGTTTCCTGTGCTTCAAGTAGTGACTGGTAGCAACGTTTGACCTCCATCTCTAGGTCAAGGTCACTTATTTTTCCCCACTTCCAAGGCATCTCCACAGTTTCCAATGATCTAAAAAGATTAACAACCTTCTGTTTTGAAAGTTTCCTTGTGAATAAAAATCAAATTCAGATCCCAGCGGAGGAGAGTTATCGATCAGATGTTTAATGTATCTAAACTAAATCAACTAGCTAGCACTTTGTGAAAATATTGTATCATTGTTTTAAAACACCTGTACTTCTGAATTCATGAAATATTCACCAAAGTTGCATGTAACATTGCACTAAATCAATAGTCACTTTACAGTTTGACACACTTACCTATTAATTCGCTGATTCAGATCCAGGGAAGTACAGCAAACATATAATGTCCGTTTTTTGGTATATACTACAATCTTTTCTAGCTCCCAAACATGAAATCTGATCTAGGCCAGGGGAACACGGGGTATTTAAATTACGGTTATAAATTCGTACTATTTTCTTATTTTGAAAAGCCGTTGTGATACATTTGTTAAGGATAACACTTCTGAAGTTGCCTTCTTTGAGGCAAGCACAGAGTCTGATTAGCAATTCCTTTAGAGTCTGGGGATAAACAAAAAAAGGATGTTTAACTTTATAGGGCCTCTTTGAAAATGTACAATCGTGCTTTAGCAAGACACATAATCACTGCGGGACAAGAGGCCAAACGAACCGAAACCTAAAATATTGAACAATTGTCAAAAATCTGTCAATAAAAGCTCTATTGAGCGACATTAATTCCGGTATTATACAGGGTATCATCAACATCTCAATAATTACAGGTAGATTTAATATCTATCAAATAATGATTCGACAAACTTTAAATGACATTCAAGACTTTGAGGAACTCTGGAATGCTTATCGAGGTTTAATGCAGCGCACCAAACAGAAAGAATTAATGTATTGCTTTTGTAAAGGGAGTATATAATACAAATTACACGGAATATTGTGAAAATTAAAACTGTAGGACAATCGCATGTACCGAGACTGCAGTATAAATAAATGAAGGTTAAATTTTTGATAAGATGAAATAATGAATTTTTTTAAAGAAACTTTGAAGGAAAGTAAAACGACCAGAAAAGGATTATATTTTATGGTGTCTTATTCAGCAGATAAAAGCTTAGTAATTACATGTAATATTTTCTTATCATTTCACTCGATCACTGTGAACATGTGTATTTACAACTAGAAAGTTAAAGGGAATGGGTATTTAAAAATCCGTCGGCCATTGAGGAAATTATTGATCAAATTTTTGTTGAGCAATTACGCATATTTCGAAGATCGGGCCAAAACAAAGGTCTTTTTAAGGGACAACGGCGCTGTTAGAAATGTCTGGAACTCAGAAACGACACTGCTTCCACCAAGATGAAGCTCCGGAGATTCCCTCCAAAGCCCCGTGTCTGGGACAGAACGGTTAGTTGGAAGGCGAAAGGTTTTTATTGATTTATCAATACATATAAAATTGGAATGAGATCGATATTTGTGTACACGTTCACTCATATTACATTTTACCAAACAATCATAAAAACTCTATTCGAAAATTTCTATAAGCAGGCATAGAACATATTAATACACTGTTAAATTGTATATAGCATAACAGTATTGTTGGGTTGTTTGTAAACAAAATAAAGATTAAGCTTTACCAGTCTAGCCGAACCCCCGAACGGGGGTATACCCCCAAACGAGGGTTTTCCGTCCCGTCATGCAATGCGCAAGAACAGTAACTCTTGCCGTATCCAATATAAACAAACTTGCCTATATATCATTTATCTAAGGAAAAAGATCGATAATAATGTTATTTCTGCTATGAAATTGGTAAAATTTCAACAGATAAAAATTAACAGTTTAAGTTTTCCATAGTTTGAATTTATACTGTAGGAATAACGAAATATTTTCCGTCATTTCATGAAATTATTTATTATTTTGTAGGACGTCTCAATTAAGATTGTGGAATTTAAAACACAAGGAAAAATATTCTAAGAATGAGGAAAATATTCATTTAGAACCTAGATTTAAATAAAATAAAATACAATCGTGTTTTCTCAAACAATCATATTTATTAATATAAAAAAACAAACAAACTACAACAACATGTTGCCAAACATTTTATTTAATTCTTATAAGATATAAAAGACAATAAATACGATAGATTTCATTTGAATTTTATTTTTATATGTATTTTTGTTCCACTTCCTTGGCATGATTATCGATAATAAAGACCGTTGATTGCTAGTCAGAGGAAACGCGGACTGAAACCCACGATCATAAACAATTCGATATTAGCACCATTTTTTCTTGCATTTTATTATGAAAATAAAAGATATAATGTAGAATAATACATTTTTTATATAATTTCAATTTAGTATTAGTTGCTTATGTCTGTTTATCGAATGTTTTATCTTAAATACCTGCATGTCAAGGAGCAAAAGATCGCCAACTTTGCCAGTGAATAAATCCCGATTTGTACAATAAAGTTGTATTTTTGTAAAATACAAACTCTAAAAACACCTGTAATCTATCATTTCCGAGTGGTTTTACATTTGCCAAATAATCCGTTACTTTGCACCGGCGATTTTTGTAAACCCCTACTTTTTGCGTGAAATACGCACATTTTTAAGCATCTGCGCATGCTCGTACCCCCGTTTGGGGGTATGGATTTCCCATTTCCGTTTACCCCCGTTCGGGGGTTCGACCAGACTGTTTACAGTTTTCATGTCTCAAAGGTCAATAGGTCAAACTTTTTAAATGCCAAACCGCTGATTCGGTGTTGACGTTTTAATTTTGAAGTCAGGTTTTCAATGACGAAAAGTTTCTAGATATTGTTGCCAAAAGATTATATATATTCATATATTTAAATGATTTAATTGATATACATGTATATGAGTGAATTATTTTTTTTCCCTTTTAAAGTTTAAAAAAAAAAAAACAAAAAAAAAAAAAAAAAACACATTAATTTTTCTAGATCTAGAGGTGAATGAAACCGTCTTGATAGACACTAATGACGCCACAAGTGATGTAATACAATACGTCATGACGGAAACGTCTGACCACTACAGGAATGGAAGACCGTACAAAATTCTCTTCTACCCGGGTAAAAGTACTGCCATAATCCAAATCAACCTTCCGGGCGATCAGCTAGTGAGAGACATGGTGCTAACGTTGAACCATTGTCGGACAAATTGTCACGGGGTGATTGACATATTTTTAAATGATTCGGTGCTTGTAAAAGGCTATTCGGATGCTAGGTGGGATAACTTTGGAGAGCAGACGTTCAATGTTCCAGTATATCTGTTAAAAAAGGGTACAAATGAACTGACTATCAGACTTAATAAAACTAGCAGAGGAGTTTACTGGTTGTCTGATATCAAGATAGAAACACGGATTGTACGATAATGTAAAATTGAAGAAAGAGATGCCGAGAAGTCGCATAATAGACTAAGCTCACCCTAACGGAAAATGTTAGGCAGGAAAGACGGATCAAATGTCCTCGCTAGATCACACCCATTCAAACGTGACTTCTTTTTTTTTTTTTTTTTTTTTTTTTTTTTTTTTTTTTATTAGAAAGGTTATATTAAATGAACTTTTATAATAGTTTTATTTGCTGTCAATGATATTTTCCCACCCAAACCTGAGACACCAACAAAATTTCTCTTTGTCCATTTACTTAACATATTGAAAATTCTAAGAAAATATTTAGATGCTTGAATATCAGGTATATTTTAAAAGAAGAAGTTTCTGAACTTATGTCTTATTCTTATGATTTGTGTCAAACTCAGCAGAAAACTTAGTACAGTATCGGAACTCCTCTGCTTGCTGTATAGAAATGATACTTTCCGAGAGACTGTTTTTACTGTAGGATGAAAAATATATAACCTGGGATAAGAATCACGAATATAAGTATTTCCTTGTTTTAAAAAAAAAACATTTTTGAACTTATGATTTATTAAAAAAGTAAAAACAAATTTCTATGAAGAACCATATGATCATATAAAAATGAAATACGAGGGTCGTTCAATAAATAATGCAACAAACAGTATATCATAGTAAATGTAGATCTATTTACTTTTATTTTTTCACAGTTGAAAAGTTCAATTAAAGAGCTCCCTATCACAGAGACATGTGTAAAGGGTAACAGGGAATGCTTTGAGGGATTGAGAATGTTTAGAATACATGTATGTATTACGTACTTTTCTTACTTTTAGATGACCTATTGCATTATTTATTGAACGACCCTAGTATATCATTATTACACTGAACAAATTAAAAAGGTCAAAATTAGATAAATATAAAAGCTTGTAACTTATAAAATTATCTGTACCAGAATAAGATGTATGTCCGAGAAAATGGAAAATAAACATTCGCAGGTAACTATTCTAAAAATACAGCAGGCAATAAAAATGATTTCAAATCCTTTCCAACTTTCAAATAATACATTTCTAAAAATATACACTATATAGTTTGCACTCGATACATGTATATACATGTACATATGTTCTTACATTCTACACGTCTTAACAAAATGAAATGTACCACTACTCGTGTATATGAGAATTAATTAAATGGCCAAATTTTCTGAAGCACTGTGAAAATTATATGTCATGGAAGGTTTTAAGCAAGGAAATTTAAAACAGAACAAGTAAAAGAACAAAGGAACAAGAATATATATAATTTAATGTAACGGACTGAAATAACGTCCTTATGAAGAAAAGTATAAATGTGTGAACTTGAGCAGAAAAATACCAAAATTGCATTACTGCAAAGCATAAAAAATGAATAAAACCCTCTCAAGATAATGAGCTCTGATATAACATTCAAGAAAAAATTTCAAGGTACATGACAAAAAATCTGAAATTCTTTGAAAATGTCTTCACTGGTTTTTGAAGTAGGGAATTCTTTTGTGTTTAGTCGAATAGTTCCTTTTTTCGTGGATAGTGAATAGATAATTCCTCAGCCAATCAGAATCCTGTGATGTTTCTATGACAACAGTTCTTTCATATCATTCATGGATTCCACAATATGTTTTTCATAGTTTAGCAGATGATGTTATTTTACAATTCTATGTGATGTCACATAGAATTTTACTGAAATATAGGTACATTTCATAAAAAAACTAGTTTTTTAAAAGTAATACAGCATTCAACATTAACAAAAGTGCACAATTAAATGGAGAATTCCTTAATTACCATATTTTATAACGCCTCTAATCATTAAAAATTTGCGGAGCAGAAAAAGCACCGCTTAAAGCCTAGTTTGAAGGTGAATGAGGAGAGATCAGAAGATGGTCATCTCATCGTGGTTCTCTCATTAGGTCATGTATAAGACACCGTATACCCCAGGAACCACAGTCGGAATCCCTCCCAAATATAAAATTCTCAATTGGAAATCCCTCCTCGTACAAAATATTCAGATCCCCTACAAAATACTCAAAATTCCTCCTCCATACAAAATTCTAAGAAAACCTCCCACATACAAAATAATCAGAAACCCTTTCCCATAAACCTTCCCCTATACAAAATGCTTGAAATCCCCCGTCATAAAATACTCAGAAACCTTCCTCCATGTAAAATACTTAGAATCCCTCACCAATACAAAGTACACAGAAACCCTCCCCGATAGAAAATGCTCAGAAACCCTCCCCTATATAAGATAATCAGAAACCCTCATTCATACAAAATACTATACATAAATATATATATATATATATATATATATATAAAATACTATACTATACTTTACAATTTTAAACGATTTCAACAAATCACTCTATGGAAGTTAGTGGAAGTGTTTAATTTACCATACCTATATTGGATTTCCGACGTAATTTATATTACAGGGTCCAGTAAATGTATAACAAAGCCCTTATCCTTACTCCTGACCAAAATACAAATTGCCTTAGAAGAGAAACTTCAGATGTATTTTGCAGCTCAAGAAATGGTGTAAATCAAATGTGTATTCTCAAAAACTAGAAAGACGGAAACCATTCCTCACGAAAAATTAAAGAGAAAGCTTTTTGAAATAAAAAAAAAACAACTGCTTCCTCAATAACAATACATTTAGTTTTTTTTTTATCCATATACAATCTCGCTATATTCAGTAAATTCGAAGTAAAGGACACCACAGAGCTAGTCTACCACATTTGCTTCATACTTGGATAAGTAACTGACTATAGACGATATTGGCCAACTACACTGTAACAACTAGACTATATGACAAACAGGAGGACTTTACTTTTTCATTGTCAGCTTTCAATATTTACATTGTAATATTCGAAGCATATGATGCATCGACAAAGGAACTCGGTCATCGCATTATTTATCAGTATTTCTCCCCACCGCCAACATTTATATCATTTCTGATTAATGACATTAAAAAATAAATGATTTAAACAATATACAATATTTACCATAGCAGAGTATGATGCCGTTCTTCCCCAAGTTAAGTATGTAGTAAGGTATGTAGATGAGATAAGAGAATGTGCACAAGGTAAGTAAGGTTTCCTTGTTACTATACGTATACATGTATTAGACTTTTAAAAATATTTTCAGTTCAAAATAGAGCAAATAAATATAACTTGTGAGGTTCTTCATATTTGTCTACGACACTTAAGCTACACTGTGCACAACACAAACAGGATGTGACGTTTCGACTCACTGTGCCGTCCACGCTTCCATGTTCCACATTTATTCGACTTTGGCATTGCAGAATACCGAGAATTGTGTAGATTTGTCAAACCATCTGATGAAGTTCGATAAAAAGGGGTTAAAAGTCAACTTATCAAAATCATTTTATCAACAGTTTCTGCATTCCTTAAAATCAACGATTATGATGGAAATACATGTGTATTATAATCAGGATGCCGTAATTGATATAAAGAAACACTTCTCTGTTTACTGAACATGTATTCTGATAAGTGTATATGCATAAGTGAAAACTTCAATGTTTCAGACACTAATAAATTTTCCTTTAAGCAAATCTAATGATGTTTTATTCATTACCTGTTGAAACCATTTCCTGTCATTGTGAAGGTCCCATTATCCTCAATATTCTACAATCAGAAGTTAGAAGGTTATTCCCTATTCCCTATTGACTATTCGAATGGCGAACTGCATGATGTGGCCGGTTCCCTATTCAAATTACCGTAAGAGTCCTAATAATTTTTTTTTTCTCAAAAAAAAAAAAAAAAAAAAAAAAACCCAAAAAAAAAAAACCCAAAAAAAAAAAACCCCTTAAATAACACATTATGATACGCGTTAAAGAAGCGAATCAAAGACTTCACTTAAAAAAGAAGAGAGAAGACCCCAAACCAATGTAACTAGCCTGACCAAAATGATATCAATAAATATAATACCATTAATAGGTAAACCTTGTGCCGGGGGCTGGCTAATATCCTGGATCCCATATTTAGACCTTCATCTTTTTACAGGAGAGGGGTCTGGAAGAGACCCCTTGACTATCAAAGGAATTGAATTGACAAGAGCGGGAACCTATTTATCTAGCCCTGTCAAAATTGGGAAAACCCGTATAATACAATTATGAGTACATAGTTCTATGGGCTGGCTTGCATCCTGGATCCCATATTTCGATCTTCCTCTGTTTACAAGAGAGGGATCTAGGAGGGTTCGACCCCTTGACTGTCAAAAGAATTCAGTTTACAAGTGAACCTATTTACCTAGCCCGGTCAAACTTGGGAAAAACTCGTATAATACAGTTATAAGAGTACATAGTCCCACATAGGATCCAGGATTTAGCCAGCCCTTCGAACTATATCCACTTATAACAGTATTATACGTGTTTTTCCCAATTTTGACCGGGTTAGCTAAATGGATCATCGGTCTTGTAAACTCAATTCCTTTTGACAGTCAAGGGGTCCTTTCCAGACCCCTTCCCTGTAAAAAGATGAAGGTCTGAATATGGGATGCAGGATGTAAGCCAGCCTCTGGCACAAGGTTCACCTATTAATTGTATTACATCCATCGTCATCATTTTGGTCATGCTAGCTACATTGCTTTGGAGTCTTCACTCTTCTTTTTTTAAGTGAAGTCTTTGATTCGCCTTTTTAACACATATTTTAATGTGCTATTCAATTTTTTTTTTTTTTGGAAAAAACAATTATTAGGACACTTATAGTAATTTGAATAGGGAACCGGCCACAACATGCGGTTTGCCATTCGAATAGTCAATAGGGAATAGGGAAGAACCTTCTAACTTCTGATTGACTGTTTGACGTGATGTAAAGAAGAATGTCTTTGTCATTGAATTTTAAGAATATTCATTTAAGTTCAATTAATTCATTCAACTGGTTTTATTTTTTGAATAACTTAAGAACAATGTAACTGTGTCTAGGCCCCTGTAAATGGTGTATCGGTTATTGTTTTAGACGTCAATGGTAATCTAACAACCAAGCTTTATGATAAACGTGATGACTTCAACTTTTCAATCGTCAACTTCCCTTACTTATGCAGCAATATACCTTCATCACCTGCATATGGGGTATATATCTCTCAGTTGATTCGATACGCAAGAGCATGCTCTACGTATGTACAATTTCTAAAACGCGGTAAATTATTGACAAACAAGTTGATGAAACAAGAATATCAGCTGTCTCTTTTAAAGTCATCATTTCGTAGGTTCTATGGTCGATACAATGACCTTGTCAGCAAATACAATTTATCATTGAGTCAAATGCTGACTGACGTCTTTCATACAAATTGTTAGGCCATTATTTACAAATGAATTGTCGACGGATTTTTCCGTTATTTCCTGATCATGACAAGGAGCACTCGGCGGGTGTGACCGGTCGGCAGGGGATGCTCACTCCTCCATGGCACCTGATCCCACCTCTGATCTTTGGAGGTCCGTGTTTGCTCTGCTCCTATTTTGTATTGTTTGATGGACTTTTGAGCTTGAATACTGTTCGTTATCTTCCTATATTTTACTTTCAAAATTTCTGTTTTGACTTAATTTTCATAGAGATTTTTAAATTAATATTTTTGGTATCATTATATTTTATCTTTTGCACTCCTGACATGGTGTAACATTTTCGAGCATTAGCCGAGACCATAACTTGGTAAAGCAAAAGGTACTACAGTCTAATTTTAAAGCTCAATATATTAAATTTAATCAGAAAACTCTTTATTTCTAACATAAATCGTAATCATTTATTCAACAGATCTTCAAAGTATATGGAATTTTCAAAATGTTACAAAAGGTGTTGCACTCCTGATATTTTTAGCATCATTTTTGGGCATAACTTTTTTTGTTTCTTAAGATATCAAAGAGTAATTTGGCAGGCATTTAGTCAGTATCAAAAGACACATGCTGAGCAATAGAAATTTATTCATATAGCCTGAATTTTAAAGCAGGTTGATAATTTGTCTCTGGACATTTTTTTTAATTCACCTATATAGTCAACAACTGAGTGACCACGGATTGAATAAAACGTTCATTAATTCCTTCGATTCGTCAACAAAATGGCATTTCAAAACACAACATCGACTATCGTTTAAGAACTCTAAAAGTGATTTACCATGTTGGTTTTGAGATTTATCACTTGAAAGTCGAGAGGGAATCTTGTCTAATCAGTCGTTAATTTCTTGCATGGGTATATCCAATATAAGCATTTACATCTCCGCATAAAATAATATCATCAACTTCGCAATGATGATATATACTTGTGTCAGAAGATGCGAGAAAAAAGATGTGGCCTTTTTAAGCCTAGTATAAACTGGATTTATAACAAGTTAAAATGCCAACACCATCCGGTCCCTTCGGAGCATGAATATAAGTTTGTATAGGGCTAAAACCTATCCATCTATACCAATAGTCTTTATAACTAAAGGTGATCTCATTTATAAGGATTTTTTTTAAGTATCCCCTACACGACTTTTCACTATATTCCTTATAAAGATATTAAGATCGCAGGTATAAGGAAGAAAAATTCGAATTCCCAGTGACTTCTTTTAACAGAGTTTTACTGTACATAAATACAATAAAACATACACACTTAAATAATTAGAATCGTTTAATCATATTCACTTAATCACAACAGTATAGCATTTCCAATAATGAGAATCAAATGTTTTACAATCAACTTAAAATTTTATTTGTGATACTTTATGTTATTGTGTTTGTTTTATTTGGCTAATTATAATTCAGACATTAATTATTATCATTTAAATATTTCTACAATTAAAGCGACTTCAATCAGTAGGTTCATGTAATCGAACATTCGGAAAAAAAATCATTCCTTTTTGTTTGACACGCTGGTAGCACTGATTTTTCTTTTTGCTCGGCTCACCCTTCGTTCATTTGGCCTTGTCTCATGAGAGCTGGAACATTTCTTTGTGACGACGTACAGTAAAGCGACTAATCCCAGGGTCGATATCATTGCCCCGGTTCCAAGCCCTGCTGCCAGTAGTAACTTCTCTGTTGATGCCCGGGAGTTTAATGCTATGACCTTTGTCATTTTTCCAGTCGATGGATGGGGACAAAAACACTCAACTCGCCCATGTTTCTGATCAAAAATGTGTATGAATTACTAATAGATAGGTTATGTAAGAAAGTACATGTATTTATTTTTTTTACAATAAACTTGAAGAATTTATTGAAGATATTTATTTCAGCTAGTACATCTGATTACCAAATCTCTCTCTCTCTCTCTCTCTCTCTCTCTCTCTAGATATATAAGAAAATTGTTAAAGGACCGTATCCTATTTTGTATTTCCATGTAATCTTCTGGACCTTGGCATGAACATTCATTTGAAGAAATGTAGTGAAAGTAATATATTCCAAAAGTTAGCAGAAAACAAGAGACTTTGAATAGAGTAATGTATTACAGCAAACAAACAGAGCATACATGTACTCCTACATGTACTTTAGAGCCTTGTATTGCATACATGTCTTTAGCATTATGAGGGAAACTTCCAGATACTTTAAATTTAGAGTGTTGTTTGAGCAAATAAATTGCATTTAAGAGACTTGCGAATAGATGAAGTTTCTAATAAAAATGCCATCTTTAAATCAAAATCTTGAAGGCATTAACTGGACTTGTACTTCAAAATATAATAGGTAGCTTTCTGAAAAAGAGTAATTACTGTACATTTTGATATAAAAACACAATGTTGGCAAAGCATTCCTAATATGTTTACAAATTAGTGGTTGGTTAGAAAAGTCTTTCTTTTAGAAATTGAAAAGATAAAAAAAAGAAAAAGAAAATGATAAGAGTTTTTATCTAGATTATCATTTAGAATTATTATAACGAAAGAAAAAAGTACCGTACCGCTCTTTCTTTGGCTAAAATTTAGGAAAAAAGTATTTCGTTATAAACATCAAAGAGAATAGATAATGGCTAAAAAGATTTTAATCAAAAAAATGTCACTGTCACAAAAGAATTTTGAAATCTTTACCTTCCATAGCTTTGCAATGATTAGTTATAATAGGTCCTTGAGTGAGTGTTGTTGCCATTGTTGTTTTTGAATTGGATGATTTTACAGTCATTGTACCTGTACCGGATGATTTTACAGTCGTTACACCTGTATCGGATGGTTTTAAAGTTGTGCCTGTACCAGATGGTTTTACAGTCATTGTACCTGTACCGGATGGTTTTAAAATTGTACCTGTACCAGATGGTTTTACAGTCATTGTACCTGTACCGGATGGTTTTACTGTCACTGTACCTGTACTGGATGGTTTTGCTGTTGTTGCACCTGCACCGGATTGTTTTGCTGTTGTTGCATCGGATGGCTTTACATTCATTGTACCTGTACTGGACGGTTTTACAGTCATTGTACCTGTACTGGACGGTTTTACAGTCATTGTACCTGCTCCCGATGATTTTGCTGTCGTTGAACCTGCACTTGATTGTTTTGCTGTTGTTGTACCCACTCTGGATGGTTTTGCTGCTGTTGCACCTGTACTGGATAGTCTTACAGTTCTTGTATCTGTACCAGATGGTTTTACAGTTGTTGCAGTTGTACTGAATGGGTCTACAGTCGTTGTAACTATAATGAATGGTACTACAATCGTTATATTTGTACTGTATGCTTTTACAGTCACTAAACCTGTACTGGATTGTTTAACAGTATTTTTACCTTTAATTAATGATTTGGAAATTGTTGCACCTGTTCCAGAAGTCTTTGCAGTTGTGGTAATTGTACTAGATGCTGATGCAGTTGTACCAGTTGTAGAAGTAGTTATTATTGTAGTACTTGTAGCTGTTGTTGATTTAATTGTTGGGTTTCTTGTTATTTTCGTGGGTGTTGTAGTTGATTCTGTTGTTGAAGCTTGTTTCATTGTTGTTGTCTGAGTTGCTGTTTGTATTGTTGTTGTAGGTGTTGTTGTCGTCGGACTTGTTGTTGTGGTTGTTGTTGTTGTGGTTGTTGTGGTGGTGGTAGTAGAAGGGGGTGGTGGAAGAACTGTAATTCACTTAATCTCATGGTAAGTTAGTTTAAAATCAAAATCAAAAATTAGCATTTGTATGATATGCTTCAAGCTGTCTTCTTGACACATTTATCCAAAGTTTTATAATGCATAGTAAAACAGCATTTAATTAAACGAACAGGAATTGATATTGTAAAATAATATATTCCGGATCTGTTCTTTTTAAATATGCCATTCAATTTTAATCGCTTTCCTATCTAATTGTGAAAACTATATTTTCATTTTCAGTCTGTAATTTTTTTCACGTTAAATTATGAAAAAATTAAAACAATCCGTGTCTGTAATTTAAATTATTGAAATAAATATCATAAAACTTAAATATTTTCAACAAATACAAATCCTATAAAACTTTAGATAATTAATGACACATTAAATAAAACGAAAACCAGTTTTAAACTTAAATTCTTTTTCTGATAAATAAGATTTACTTTATTTATGGCTAAATAAAGATGACATTACATAAACATTACTTGATAATAAATAATATAAATAAATAAATAAATAATGTTCAAACGATCAAAAAAGTCAAGAATGATCATTAATGTTTGGCTAACTTTGAATCATTCATGGCTAATTTTGAAAAAAAGTTATGGAATCGAGTTAAAGCTCTGGGATAAAAAAGAAGCCAGTAAATTAAAGAAAACTTTAATTTCGTTTTACATACTTAGTGGGAGTGTTTACTTTCGTTTTTTAAAAAAAATACGACCACAAAAAGAGAAGAAAATTGCATCAAAGAAACAATGTCGTGAAATCCACTTGGTCTTGACAGTGTTACCCTTTTTGGAAACGTAAGACTTAAGAGTGTATATTTTTGTCTATCTATAAATTTCAAAAAAAAAAAAAAAAAAAAAAAAAAAAAAAAAAAAAAGCTATATATATATATATATATATATATATATATATATATATATATATATATATATATATATATATATATGGAAATTTATAGATAGATAATCTTTAATAATCTACAGCAATTAAATGACCATTAATTATTGATCTACCATCAATTACAAAATATTTCCATCAAATAATCTAGTCTTACCGTGTGGTTGAAAATGTACTTTAAAACATCGTATCTCGCCAGGTACGCTAGAATAAAAATAACATGCATTATGTTGAAAATGAGATAAAAACTAATTTAGTGCTTTACATGAGATTGAAATACTAGTAACTACATCATTTTTGTCTACTGGTCATTTTACATCACCACAAAACAAATCACAAATATTATACCCAAATGTTGAAGGACGTATTAAAAGCACTATAAATTTTAAATATGTCAAAATCATTTAGAAATATAGAGCTAAAGTATTTTAGTTTCAAAGAGGGAGCAAATTAAAGTGAAGTAGTAAAAGAAAGATAGGATATCATAATTTACCCTGAAACTATGGCTTGGAAGCAATATTCTTTTGTTTTCCCGGTATCTTTGTTTGATGATCCAATCCATACATCTTTGTGACATTCTGTATTGGAAGTAGAAGTAAATACATGGACTGATGTATCACTCTCTGATCTGTCCCTTATTTCTGGACTGTAAACAAGAAAAGCTTGTTGTTAATTGGTGTTTTATTTTAATATCATTTATATCTCCTTTATATATGTAAAGAGTTTACAATACATAAATCTTGAAAAAATATATACAGACAAGCAGTTAACAATTATTTGATTGTCAATGCTTGCAGATGCATAACATAATTTACCATTTTAGATCATGTCCTTTTCTCAAGGAAAGTATCGCATGGCATGGTTTCCCTGGAGTGCAAGTGAACTCAGATCCATTGGTGGGTGACGGGGTGATGAAATTTGGCTATTGACAGGTCACAAGAATAGAGTATAGAATTTAATTTTTTTATGTTACCTTTTAAATGAAATCAAGGAATAAGATATCGAAAATTCTACATTAATTGCATTAAATTATGGACGATCATGTGGTTAGTATATTCGTAATAAAGTATACTAGAAACGATTTTAAAACATTCATGTCTAATTTGGTATTATCCAACCTGGTAGGTTTCAACAGAAGCTGCCGTAAATGCTGAAAAAGAGAAAAAGAATATTTTATTTTAATTCATTTTTTTCCCCAAAAATAATTGTTCTTTAATCTATTTTTTTTTCTTTCTTACCTGATGCTGTTAATATGAGACAGCAAACATTGTCATACAGATCGCTGTAAAAGAAGAATTTGCTGAGATATTACAAATTATTCAAAGGTCTAATAATGAAACTGATAACAGGGTTTGACATATTTCTTTAAGGATATTGAGTATTCTTTTTTTTTTTTTGTAAATTCAGACGATCTAATGACATGAAGAATTTTTCAAAAATCCATACAATTACTCTCCAATTTCCATCAACATTTATTCTTTGTTCATAATCAATGTAAATGGTGATTGTTCATAATTTGTCAGTTATATTATTCTGTAAATAAATGCTGACCCTTCTATCGATGTCAAAAATAGGCAAAAGGTGTCCGTTTCTGGAGCGGTATGATTGATCACAGCTTGTCCCAAAAAATCACGTGACACAGATATCTTGGAGTACATCAAGCTTTTTGTGTCGATATTTGTTCCATTTGAAGTTATATTAAACCTAAATCGAAAGAATTTGCTCTTCAAAATAGATTTAAAAAAGTAACACTACATTATATCACCTTTAAAATGTATCAGCCATGAAGAAATAGAGATAACACTGTCAAAATAAAATGCCAGTGACGGCTGAATTTGCTTCGGCATATAAATTTTACATTATTTACTCACTGAAAAATTATTTCTGATATCACAACGAATTCACAAAGTTTGTGTTTGCTTCAAAAGTTCTCTACTGAAGTTAATAAACTTGCTTCTCGGTTAAAATTTGGAAAGATTTACAATATGCAGTTTACTCTAGACAGAGAAAAATTACAAGGCTGCTTTTTAGAATATCACAATTTAATACGTACTTGTCGGAGTTAGATACAGTGAATGGTATCACACAGTCTTCTGAAAGAGGGCACTTGATTGTTTTAGGCAATATAACATCTCCAAATAATGGCTGAAATGAGATTTCAAATTTCTAGTAATGTTTAATTGTCAAACTGAAAATTCAAGTACTAAGTAATTACAAAATGACAACAATGTTTAACACAAACTCAGGCTTTATGGGCTAAGATTTAATATCATATAAACTTACAGATCCGGTGGAGTAGCTATGTTTTCCATGAACATTTCCTTCATCTGCGAAAGATAATAATAAAATAAATAGAGGATATTCAATGTTTTGTAGATGAATATGGAATTTATTTCACGAGTGGGACAGGATTTTTTGATATTTTCACGAGTGCGAAGCACGAGTGAAAATATCAAAAATCCTGTCTCACGAGTGAAATAAATTCCATATTCATCTACAAAATATTGAATTTTCTGTTTATTACATTTTCTTTGATTTTCCCTTTGTCTCTGTCTTATCTTAGCACAGTGTCATAGCTAGACTTGACGTCATAGTTGAGTGGCTGAGACGTCATAGCTTAGCAGTTGTGAGATTGAAAACATTACATAGCGTGGATTTTAGCAACATATTTGAAAAGAAAATTGCAGTTTTAGCTCTATCAAAATGTTTAGTTACTATATCTTAGGGCAGGCTAGAAATTATTTTCTACTTAATTTGATATCCTTTCACACTATGAGAGAATATCATTTTGATATTCTTTCACACTGTGAGAGAATATCACTTTTATTCAATAAATAAATCACAGTATTTCACTGTTGAAAATGTAATAATATCCAATATTTTAAGTTACAAATTCAAATCAGAATCATATAATTTTAATGAATTTATAATCAAAAATTCCATCCACTACACGTAAATTACCTGTTGAGCAATTTTCGCCGGAGAAACCTGAGCGACATTTACATTTTGCAGGACTGTTTTGACCCTCACAGAATCCATCATGAAAACATGACACACCCACACAGGCTCCCCTCACTGAAGAAAGCTCAGATTAAGTAGGTTGATATTAATAACTTGTCAAGACTTACTTATGTAAGGATACAAGTATAGCAGGGGAAAATTTCACTATATGATTATCTATTTTAGAAAAAAAAGATTTAAATACGTCGTTTCTGATTTCCATAATTATATTATATAAAAAGACCTATTATATTTTAGAGTTTTATAGTTCATTTCTTAATTAAGATGCATAAAAATTCATAAAATGTATATAGTTTTGATTATTTATTAAATTACACAATTGTCTGAAAGAAAATTGTACCTGTTATCCTCGATTTGATACGGATTGTGTAGCAACGTTCGTCCATAATTTTTCTGGAGGAAAACAGTATATATATATATTAAAAATAAAACTTTCATATGAAGAAATTTGATACTGGTCATTTAATATTCGATTTCAATCTTGCCCTTATGATGTATAAAACTTGGACTATTCGAGAGAAATGCTAAAGAGAAAAACAGTCTGAGTAGATGTGGGGTCAGCTTTCCTGTACTATTTTCTTGTTACATGATTGAAGAAATATTGTGTAAGGTTCTGATTTAGACGAAAGCCGTGCCCCTTAGATATTCCAAATACACAAGTTCGCTATGACACTTTGACAGATTTTTTACTTTAAGCAGTGAATAATACCTACAAACCTGATATATACTTCTTATATTACACTAAGTTTTTATTAGAAAATAATAATTGGTCTTCTTAGTAGCGCAACGATTTTCTTGAACATGTTCATGTGCTCAAAAATTCTACTATCTTAAAGATATACACGCTATAACTTGCGTCAGTTAAAAATAAAGTTGGAAATTTATTTATTTTGTTTACCAAATAAAGTTACGAAAATACTGTAAATTACACATTTGGAAATGAACGCATTATAAAGATCTCAAATTATAATTATTTATTATCCTACTAGGAAAGTAATGCTATATTTAAACTCATGCATCATGTGACACCGTCGATACTTTTAGATTGATAAACAAAAATGGCGTCAAGAAAACGAGGCAGGCCGTTCGGTATACAAAATAGCTTTTGACATGGATGACATACGTTTTATGTTTAAAGATACTTATCTTTAAAAACAACCATTATTAACTATCTACTCTGTAATGACAGATATTAACTTTTATTCAAAATAGTAGTCAAAATTCAACGTACCTCGTTGTCTATGATTTCCCGCGGACATGCGTGTCTATATACTGTTTACGCACTTCCTTCATCAATATTCATGAATAGGCTGAATTCTTAATTGCAGATCTTGCTTAATTGTTTTGTAATTACAACGACTTATTTAGTAAAACTTTATGGAAAGTAATTATTTTTTATTACACATCATATTTCTCAAATCATTTAATCATTTTGTTTCACGTAAAAAATCGCGTTTATACAGCGTGTATATCTTTAAGGTGAAATATATGGAGATAATGAACAGTATTCAAGCTCAAAAGTCCATTAAACATTTCAAAATATGTGCAGAGCAAACACGGACCTCCAAAACATCAGAGATGGGATCAGGTGCCATGGAGGAGTGAGCATCCCCTGCAGACCGGTCACACCCGCCGTGTGCTTCTTGTCATGATCGGGAAATAACGGAAATATCCGTTGACAATTCAGTGTGTAAATAATGGCCTAACAATTAGTATGAAAAACGTCAGTCAGCATTTGACTCAATGATAAATTGTATTTGCTGACAAGGTCATTGTATCCCCCATAGAACTTACGAAATGATGACTTTAAACGAGACTGCTGATATTCTTGTTTTATCAACTTGTTTGTCAATAATTTACGTCTTTTAGAAATTGTACATACGCAGTGCATGCTCTTGCATATCGAATCAACTGCGAGATATAAACCCTGTATGCAGGTGATGAAGATATGTTGCTGCATAAGTAAGGGAAGATGACGATTGAAAAGTTAAAGTCATCACGTTTATCATAAAGCTTGATTGTTAGATTACCATTAACGTCTTTTCAAGTAAAATATTCAAATATGAAACAGATATGTCAGACTCTGTAATATCTTTTATCTCAAGCTCACCAGGATATATTGTATCGACATAAGAATGGAAATAACCATTGTTAATTGACAATACGTCGTCGATATATCTAAATTCTGCTTCATATGAATATAAAAAAGGTCTGCTAATAACGGTGAATAAAGGGTGAATTAAAAAAAAAATGACCAAACGCATATTTATCAACCCACACTAAAAATACAGGCATTGAAAATATATTTATATGTCTCAGCATATGTCTTTAGATGGTGTCTAAATAACTGCCAAATATCTCGTTGATATCCCAATTAACAAAAAAATTTATGCCCAAAAATGATGCTAAAATTGTCAGGAGTGCAACACCTTTTTGTGACATTTTGAAATTTCAAAATTTTTTGAGATCTGTGAAATAAATAATTAAAGTGTTGCCAAAAAAAAAAAAAAAAAAAAAAAAAAAAAAAAAAAAAAAAAAAAAAAATTAATTATAAAATTCTGAAAGAAAATTAAAACAAAAAAGAATTTTCGAAGTGTAAAACAATAACTGATATACATTTTAAAACTTAAAAATGCTTTATAAATCACAAGCAGCATTAATGAGAGTCAAGTGCATACTGTATTCTGCAGTCAGGAGTGCAACAAAACTGCTTTATAATTACCAATGCTTTTTAACTATCTTTACTAAAAAATAAGTTGAAAAAAATGTTTGATACTATTTAATGTTTATTCAATGTCCAAAACATTATGTCTATCAACAATTTACAGAAAAATTACAATCAATTCAGGGAATAGTTTCATCATTTCACATATATTTTTAAATACAATTGATATATATTTCACTTTGCAAATAATCATAGTTTAAGGTCTTCAAAATATGAAAAACCTGCAGAAAACGATGAAAAATATCAAAACGACAAATTAATTTACAAAGTAAGAATGGATTACTCTGTGTTATAATTTTTAAAACAATGTTAAATAATATACATTTCCGATGTCAGGGGTGCAACACAATAATGTAACATAGGGTCACTTCAAAATCTAGTGTTTTTTTGTAAGAGAACTCTTATATAAAAATTCTTTTTTTGGCTTAGATTTAAAGACTTGACTTGCATGAATGGACAAAAACTGAATTTTGGGGAATTTTATAGCTTCATATTTTTTTCTTATTAAAACTTTTCAAACCAGAATTGAAAAAATAATGTAAAATAACAATAAAAAAGTCAATGTACAAGAGAAGATACTCAATCAAGGTCTAGACTTAATCATTCATATCCCTTTTGCCATTTTGAAGCATAAAAACTATAATTTCTTGTGATTATGTATTTTAGAAAGTCTTTTAAGGTGTAATTATATTTTCTTTATTCAAAAAAATAAAAAAAAAAATATAAAGAACAAAAATTCTGAAACTTATTAATCCAATTGTCTATTTTATTGCCACTTCAGGATTTTAAACTAGAATGCATGTGCAATATGATGATATAAGTGACAAATATGTTATAAGTAGTTGAATTTTTCCAAAAAAATTCAGTTTGGTGGTCATTTTTTTAATTCACCCTTAAGCTTAAGATCTTTTATTTATCGGACACTATTTGCCAATTAAGATTCATTAGAACTTTTTTGAAGTAAAATTACCAGTATGATTTTCGCTAAAAGTATTTCCAAACCTACGCTGAATCAATCATGATTTTACGATATATTTAACATGTTTAATCAATTTAATTTGTAATTCATACGTACGAAAAACTATCGACCAATGAGAAACAAACATTCAGGTCTGTGATGTTGCTGACCGCGATGACGACATCAAACATACATGGTACCCATGCACCGCTAGCCTGGGGAAATACATATACGCCATTCTCTATTGTTTTGTCACTCTTCAGAACTGGACTGTCAGGATAAATTCAAAATCATAACGTGTATCAGAAAGTAGAAATGTAATGCTAAACATTCAGTCATTTTTTTAATTTCTGAAATTTTACTAAAAGAGATTTCATGACACATTAGTATTAAATAAATCAATTATCTATCCTCATATTAAAAACTTACCTAAACGCAAGAATAGAGAAAACAAATGTAAATTATACATGTTATATTACAGTTTTGTATAAAATTGAGAAAAAAGTTATAGATGATAATTTTTTGTGCCAATGCAAGTTTATATATTACCAATTATCTTCTAGAAGTTCATTCATTGCCCACAAACTAAGATGACATTGGTCGTGTACTTGACATTGCAAAACAGTTTGATCTGGCAGAGTTGGTGACACAAAATGAGGCTTTAACTAGAAACAGAAATAAAATGGAAAAGAAAAAAAAATGAATCAAAGGTGGAGATGATGAAGGAAACAGGACTTTACTAAATAGGATGGGACTGGCAGTGCATTTTCCAACATACTATAATATGCTCTGTTAATCTACTTACTATCTCCTCGCAACAAAGTTGGAGAGGGTATAGTAACGCGCTTGTGAGTGTGTGCTGAGTGTATTAGTGAGTGCGTGTGACGGAAGAACATTTACATCAGTTTTGTGCATTCGGGTTCGGAGCTGTTTTTTCTTTGACTCAAACTTAATGGAAGTAGCGGTAATAATGATAATAATAATACTTAATTTAAAGAGGGTGACTCATTTAGTGTAAACACTATTCTTCCTTGAGGCCCTCTCCATAAATAACTGTTATACATAATGATAGTAAATCTGAAGCATTCTACAGTTGTATACTGAAACGCAAAAGAAACGCAACATCCTATGTTAGAGGGGAAAATTATATAAAGGATATAATTTTGTATCTAAAAAGTACGGATATCTTCAACTTTGTAAGTATCGATAATTTAACGGTTGAACGATTTTCATGCCATAACCGGAAGTTAAGTTTGAGCCCGCTTAACAGAAATCAAAAATTGCATGTTTAACAAAACTTTTGACACAAATATGGAGTTTTAAGGGTTTGTATCTGTTTATCATAAGTAATGCAGCAATATTCCGCAAAATAAATTCTTCGTTTCCGGAAGAGATGCCAAGGCTTCCCGAAAATGACTTAAGTATGCATTTCAAATGCTCTAGCTGGAAAATCTGAAAACAAAGGTGATGGAGAATTGCAGATGCAAAAATGCACGACAACACGCCTCAACAGGCTCATAAGTATTATTAGCATGAATGATAGTCCGTGGACCGGAAGTCCAAGTGTTACTTTACTGCGCTAGGTTAGAGGAAATTCGACTTCGTCATCTGAAAAACGGACATTTAAAAATGGCGAAGAATATTTTTTTCGCTCAGATCTCGAGATTGATGAACCTATTGCATCGTGAAAATCAAGCTGCAATTGTTATGCATGGCAGTCTTCCACGCTATAATTGAATGGCTGAGAAGGGGGGGGGGGGGGTGTTATAACAGTCTTGTGTTACTTTCTAAAGTTAAAAGATAATCATTTAACATTGTTATCAAATCTCTGATGTTTTTAAATCGAATTTAACTCAACTGTAATCAGTTTTGAAAATCACTAGTTAAAAGGTTCAAATATTTGTAGATTACTGCTTGTTGCGTTTCTTTTGCGTTTCAGTATATTATTAACACAGTATATTCGCAATACATAAATGTTTACAGTCAACACACAGATTTACAGTGTTTAAAATTTAAGTTGATCGTCGGTCTTAAATGTATTTTCTTGTTTTTATTTTAAGATTTAGGAGTGTGGCAGACATTCTTATATGTAAACTTTTCCACAATATTGCATCTGAATACTGAAAGGAGTTTTGGAATATTTTTGGTTTTGTGTTTTGGAAAACCAAGTCGGAATTACACTCAGATCTAAGATGATAAGAATTGGATTGATAATTAAAGATATCAGCAAGATAATTTGGACTTAAATCTAAAAGTGATTTTACACAACAAAACATACGTATTCACAACAAATTGTCCATGTACATTTAGCCAATCAAGTTTTTTAATTAAAGGGTTTGATGATGTATGATAGGCAGCATCAAGAATACAGCAAGCCGCCAGTTATTGCAACTTTTGAATCCTATCGAGGCTAGGAGCTGATGCATTCCACCAAATTGTTAAACAATAATCAATTGATGCATAATATAAGCATTGCAAAACAACTTTCCCGTATTCAATGGAAGATATTTCTTAATTGTACGTTAAACAGATAATACTTTGCAGATTGGATCGATATCTGTGTTAAAGCTGATAATAATCTGAAACTTGCATTATTAATTTAGATTTTGGCTGGTTATCTTTGACCGTCTTTGCTGTGTGCCTAAAATATGCACTTAGTTTTACGAGTGTTCTTAATCTTTATTGTTTAAATCAGAGGATAACATATTTTGCATTGAAGAAACATTACTGTCTGAAATATGTAAAGTAGCATCATCAGCAAATAAGTCAATATTTGAATTTTTGACAAATAATGAGAGGTCATTGATATAAAGTAAAAAGAGAAGTGGGTCTAAAATTGATACCTGTGGCACTCCTGTTGTTCACCAAGGTGGACACTTAAATCTGCTGTTTAAACATGAATCAAACCATTGCACTGCTTTGGGGTCAAAATTGTAGCAACGTAGTTTTTTAATCAGAATATCATGATTCACTAGATCAAAGGCCTTACTTAAAACAAGAAAGGTTATGCCTAGAAGTTTGCCATTATCCATAGCTTTTAACCACTCATCAGTGATCGAGTTTAAGAAAAAGCAGTTTGTAAACGTTTTAAGTAAAATTAGTAAAAACGGTTTTGAAAATGTGTTATTTTCTGAGCCCTGGCTGTGATTTACATAAGAGATCAAAATCTGACGAAAAGTTGCGAATATGACTTCCGACATGATTTTCATTTTTTTTTTTACATTGTTGGGAGGGCAAATATTGGCCTATAGCTTCCAGGATCCAGTCTGCCTCCTTTCTTATATAATGATACTCTTGCAAGTTTTGTTCATTTGAAAATATTTCCGTACAGATACTGATGTTTATTAAATGAGCGATTGATTAGTTTATGACTGATGCAGCGTATTTAGAATATGTGGACCAATAGTATTAATACCAATCGACTTATTTACATCAGTTTGTTCAGAAATAATAACACTTCATTTGCATGGATAAGAGGAATGCAAAATTTCTCAGCATGTTCAAGTTTAGTTTGTGTAAATTGCAATAATCTCTCCAAATCAAAATCTTTCTCAGTGATATCCGAGATAAGTTTGTTAGTTTGTTTGGTATCTCCGTTAAGTGTCTGTTAAAATCTCAACATCGATCGTACTCATAGCATGCTCTTGAGTATCGAATAAGTTGGGAGATGTAAACACCATATGCAGGTGATAGCGGAATATTACTACATAAATAAGGAAAAAGCTGAAGTCATCTCGTCTATCACACAGTTTAGTTATCAAATTGTCTCTTATCGTCTATATTCAGTAAAACATCCAAATATGAAACATATGTGGCCAGACTCTGTGGTATATTTAATTTTTCTTTTGCGAGGAGATGCTCCGCTTTTCAGTGCCCTTTTCTTATCAATGCATACAAAAGAAAGATATGTGAAAGTTATTGTAAAGAAAAATTATGAAAATTACCTCGTCAGGCCTCATATTATTTCCTGAAAAAGGGAATGACATTGAAAAATATCAAGACGTTTTTTTCTAAAAATTGTGAAATTTTCTTTCTTAATTATCAAGAAACGGAAGAAAAAAGTCCACAAATAGTCTTATTATACCTGTTGTCACATTTATTCTGAAACATATCTCATCTTCAATTTTGCCATTCCTGGAAAGATACTGATACAATTTTTGATAGTGATTTTTTCTACTTTGTCTAGTATGATTATCCTATGGATTTATATGTGTCATTGTTTAAATAAAAATCTAAATAATGACTTGAGTTTAGTTTAATTCAAATTAAATCACAAGTATTTCAAGAATATAGAATGCCCTCGATGTTGATTGCTTATCGTTCAGTTTGATTTATATGTTTTTTTTTTAGAAAAAAATCATGAGAGTACCAATTTGAAGACATATATCGGGAAGCATGTTTTACACACGTGACAAACTGTATTTCTTTACTTAAGGAGGTTGGATCCTGTCATGAAAAGTATTGAGAATTTTTTATCAAGTATATTTTTGGAATCTAGACACATAGCTTAATTAAATATCAAAATAAAAAATGGGGGTCAATGCGCTTCTTTCGGCGCTCCGGAGCATTTAATATGACCTTTTTGCACTGTAATTACGTCTAACACATAAATCAATTTTTCAAAGTTTTTCCTCTAATATTTTTTAACCAAATAAATTATTGGAACAAATACTGTCTTTTTTCGTCTTGAATAGTCTCTTTAAAATTTGTGACACCAAAAAAAGTTTCAAATTACTTCGCATAGTCAGTTATTTGACCTTTTTGCACTCAAAAAAATGTCATTTTTCTGGCATTAAAAATTTAACAAGCAATAAAATTATTTGAAAGTAATGACATTTTTCTGAGTTTAAGCAGAATGGTTAAAATTATCTTGTTTATTCAGAAAATAAACTTAAAAGTGGGGGTCTGTGATGATAATTTTTAGATATAACTAAAATAGTGCTAATTTTTTGCCTAAAATGGGCTATTTTTTTCCCAGGACTTTCACAATATATTTGTTATATTCGTCCAATATGATGACAGAATTCATGATGGTTAATTTGATATATTATTTAGGACCAGCATAAAACATTTCACTGCTCAAAATAACTTTGTGTGCAGGCTGCATGTAAAAATAGGAATCCAGACTTAACAATACTGTAAATATTTCGAATGAGAAAAATTGATCATTTTCTTCTATAAAACCTTCCACCACAAAATATAGTTCCTAACTTAATGCTTTCAGTATGGAATTTAATCATGGAATTTTAATTGAATATAGTTAAATTAGCATTGCAGAATCCAAATTTATTGTAAGACCTAAAACATTATGCAGAATTTTTTAGATAGAGGTCTACACAAAAATCTGCTTAAAAGCTCAGGAACGAACCTCGTTAAATGAATTTAGGAGGCATATGCATTTTTGAGGATATAAAAAAGCAAAAGAAAAAGAAAACAAAAAAACAAAAACAAACAAACAAAACAAACAATCAAACAAACAAACAAGACATTGAATTTTTAACTTCGACCCCTATGATTATTTTAGGATTCCTTATTTTTAACAAGTTATTAAAATGTTTTCAAAGAACCTTCTCCTATTCACTTTGCCGAATAATTTTTTTTTTCTATAAACATGAATAGAAAAACGTAAGCTGCACCACAAAATTGCACAACCTTAACTTGGATATTGCATAGAATCTACATTCATAAACTTGATGAATTGTTAAGCTGATATATGTTCACTGTAAACCGTACAGAGGATTACGACACTTTTTAGGACATTATAAAACCTTTTTAATCCAGCAATCTATCGTACTGAGATTTCAAGTTTGTAAAACGACGAGAGTGTTCTTGTAAATTTGATTCCATGTTTGAATGATACTTAAAGAATTTTTTTTTCCTCATTCACTTTTTTAGTTCAAAACTGAGTTTTAAAATAAATCAGAGCCTGAAAGAATGAAAAAGTACTGATTTAAATTTTTTAGTGTTTTGAAAATCATGACTATAATAATTTTACCTTGGTGTGGATACAGAATCCATGCATAATGTTTTTAGTCCCAATTCTGATCCAGTGACTACTATCTTTCCCCGAACCACTCCTCCTGGCAGGGATATCGTGTCGACAGCTATCTCTGCAACGCTTAATGTTCTGTCAACTGATCCAATGACCATACTAGGCCTAAAATAAAAGAGATTTACACACCCACACACACACACACACACCCTCTCACACACATACACACACATACACACACACACACACACACACACACAGAGAGAGAGAGAGAGAGAGAGAGAGAGAGAGAGAGAGAGAGAGAGAGAGAGAGAGAGAGAGAATCTTTCAAAAATAGCCGAATATTTGCTATCCAAGTATTCTTAAAATGACCTCATAAGACCAAGAGGACTAAGATAGATAGAAAAACTTTAGCCAATCTTAGACTTATGAATAGGCTTACATTTGATGGACGTTTTTTGTTACACTGAATGGTATGATACAAGAAGTATCAACAAAACAAGTCATCGTCTCTAATAGCGCCATCTGTGTAAAATGACCCTACAAAAAATGCATTTTTTACATGTATATATTAAATGACCTTATAAAACGCCAGTATACTTAAATGTTGCTCTATTATATTCAGTCATGCATGATAATCGCTCACCCCATTGTATACGGAACTCGTAAAATTTACGTTTGCATCTGTAATTGAAAATGAAAGTGATGCATATATATATATATATATATATATATATATATATATATATATATATATATATATATATATATATATATGCTTTTATTACAGTACTAAATGCAGTTTCAGTCTTACTGTAAATTACAAGGTAACTAAATAGATTATAGGATTTTTTTTCTTTACCAGAAGCGCAAGATGATCCGCTGTATCCCAACTGGCAGAGACATTGAACATCATTGTGAATTTTGTAACATTCAGCTTCATTCTGACAATATGAATGACTGTCGCAAAGTCCTGAATAAAAGAATATGAGAGAAAAAAATAACTACAAAACAATATGCTGTTTTAAGACTGTAATAACTGCACTTGACTGTTTGCCTATAAACGTACATGTATTCTCCTTCATATTTGGGTAACCAGGGGAGAAGCCACAATTATTCTATTTTGCACAAAATATAAACATGTAATTGTAAAATCTAGCATAAAATGCTCAGGTGAACATATGGCCCATGCGTCTCTTTTTATCTCATATGCTTAATTCATTACCAGTCTAGAATTACGAAATTTAATGATGTAAATTCTGTTTAAAAGAGAATTTCAAGAAGATTTTTGTAAAATAGAGCGGGGTATATGTTCGACTCATTATTGGAACTTGTTGAATTTATTGTCAAAACAATAAATATTATTGTTTTAGTGCATAGCGATTTTAATCAGCTTTTATATTTTAGATGCCAAAATGACAATTTTCGTGATTGATCGAATAGTGCAAACTTTATCAGTTTTTGGGTAGGAAAACCCCTTTCCAAACCCACACTCGATCAACTTTGTTAAAATCAAGCCCAACCACAATTTGCTTGTTTCCCTGTTGTATTTGTAAAAGATAACAGTATGTTATGTAAAAAATCGTTTGGAATTATTATTTAAATTCTATAAATGTTCACTTGTTTGGAAAAATTCTAGACCCGCGCTTGGCATTGGACTTGCGTCATCCTACCAGTGCTAGTTCTACCGTTTCATTATTGGATTGCACGTGTAACGTGAAGATGCTGGATTATTATCAGTAGGGATTCATAACGTGTTTTAAATGAATTATTATTTTATGAAATTCACCATGTTAATAGTCCCTATAAACGGTGGTATTATGGGGTGCAATAAAAAGTTCGGTAAGCCATCTTTGTATTATGACACATTAAATGGTATACGGGTTCATGCCCCCCCCCCCCCCCCGGAAGTCTTCCCCACTACCTGAAACTACAAATGATCATATATCTCGAAAATGGTTGAACACTTCCCCCTTAGTCTTACATATTCTTGTTTCTTTTGTCATTATGCATTAAATAGTATAAAGGTCATGCCCCCTGGAGGTCATCCCACGCCTGAAACTGAAACGCTTGAAATTGAAAATGATCACAATATGACCTGCGTCAAAAATGCATTAATCCGCCTGTAAAAGATTGCTTTTCAAAATATTGCGACTCCTTCCGAGCATTTAATTGCGATCATAAGTTTTTTCAAGTTATGCATGGGGCTATAATACCTGAAGTAATCTCTCTCTTTCCTTATCTTTCTGTCTGTCGGACATCTACATTGGTCAATGGAGTTACAGGACAACTTTTACATTGATTGACTTTTTCGGATTTTACACTGTGTAATTGATAATGCAGCTAGAACAAAATCGCTCGCAGACAAAACAGTTTACTCACCATCGTATTTTCTCGTGATTTGTTACAAATTTCACATGGAAGTTTGCTCAAGTAGTGTGTTTTCAGTAGAATTTTACCTTTTTAATTTTTTTTGGAAGAGGGGGTGGGGGTGATAAATAGCATTAGAAAAACCTCGATTTTCAAATCTTTGCCATCATTCGAAAACAAAACCATCACTTAAGTCCAATAGAAACTATATATAAGTTCCTGTCTTAAATCCGTTTGAAAATACTTTCAAAACACTACTAACAAAGATACATCTTTATTAAAGTACACAGCAGTAGAGCTACAGTCTCGTTAGAGACTTCTGGTTAATTATACTTAAAGTGTTTCGTTGGGCAAGTATCCCAGGTGTCTTATAACCCCTCTCATTTAATAATTGATCCAATATCTTAAAAATCGTATAAATTCAAAAACTTTTAAAGCAAATATATTTGTGCTGCACATGACACAGTGCACTGAGCACCAAATTTTTTTGGCATCGTTATCAACTCTCAATTGGCCCAAAGGGTGAAAATGAAAATTTCGAAATCTTATTACAAATCTACTGGACCCACCAATCACTTTCCAAAAACAAGAGGCCCATGGGCCACAACGCTCACCTGAGTCAATAAGGCCCTGCTGTTCTTCGTCAGCAGATTTCTTCTCCTATATTTCTCCTATATATTCATATATAAAGCTTTGATCGCCTGTTCTAGGCAAACCCTACCCTAAGGTGCCATGTTTTGAATGAAATTGAAACCTTCTGAGGATGCTTCTATCTTCATATAACTAATCATGATTTTGCTGTTATTTAAAACAGAATTTTAAATATGTCTAACACCCTACCCGGGAGGGGGGGGGGTTCATGATTTGAACAAACTTGATTGTACACTACCTGAAGATGCTTCCACATCAATATGACTGATCATGGCTTTGTTCTTCTTGAGATTGAAGAAGATTTTTTGAAGATATTTCCTGTATATGTTCTTTTGTAAAACTTTGATCCCCCATTATGGCCCCACCCTACTACTGGAGAATGCCTTGAACAAGCTTGAATCTACAATATTTGGGGATGATTCCATATCAATATGACTAATTGTGGCTTTGTTGTTCTTGAGAAGAAGATTTTTAAAGAAATTTCCTATATATTCCTATGTAAAAATTTGATCCCCCATTGTAGCCCCACCCTACCCCCGGGGGTCATGATTTGAACAAATTTGAAGCTACACTACTTGAAGATGATTCCATATCAATATGACTAATTGTGGCTTTGTTGTTCTTGAGAAGAGGATTTTTAAAGATTTTCCCTTTATATTCCTATATAAAACTTTGATCCCCCATTGTGGCCCCACCCTACCCCCGGGGGTCATGGTTTGAACAAACTTGAATCTACACTACCTGAGAATGATTCCATATCAATATGACATATTGTGGCTTTGTTGTTCTTGAGAAGAAGATTTTTAAAGATTTTCCCTATATATTCCTATGTAAAACTTTGATCCCCCATTGTGGCCCCATCCTACCCCCGGGGGTCATGATTTGAACAAATTTGAATCTACACTACCTGAGGATGATTCCATATAAATATGACTAATTGTGACTCTGTTGTTCTTGAGAAGAAGATTTTTTTTCTATATATTCCTATATAAAACTTTGATCCCTAATTGTGGCCCCATCCTACCCCCAGGGGTCATGATTTGAACAAACTTGAATCTACACTACCTGAGGATGATACCATATCAATATGACTAATTGTGGCTTTGTTGTTCTTGAGAAGAAGATTTTTAAAGAATTTTCCTATATATTCCTATGTAAAACTTTGATCCCCCATTGTAGCCCCTACTTACCCCCAGGGGTCATGATTCGAACAAATTTGAATCTACACTACATGAGGATGATTCCACATCAATATGACTAATTGTGGCTTTGTTGTTCTTGAGAAGAAGATTTTTAAAGATTTTCCCTATATATTCCTTTGTAAAACTTTGATCCCCCATTGTGGCCCCATCCTACCCCCGGGGGTCATGATTTGAACAAACATGAATTTACACTATGTAATGAAGGTTTCACATAAGTATAAACTTTTCTGGCTCAATGGTTCTTGAGAAGAAGATTTTTAAAAGATGACACCAAATTTCCACCAATTCTTAATTATCTCCCCTTGGAAGAGGGCGTGGCCCTTCATTTGAACACACTTGAACCCCCTTCACCCAAGGATGCTTTGTGGCAAGTTTGGTTGAAATTGGCCCAGTGGTTCTGGAGAAGAAGTTGAAAATGTGAAAAGTTTACAGACGGACTACAGACAATATGTGATCAGAAAAGCTCACTTGAGCTTTCAGCTCAGGTGAGCTAATGATATGGCTACTGTGTAAAATATAAGAGGAGTTCCGGGAACCAGGTTGTTTTTTGTTGTTCTTTTATTTTTAGAAAAAAGTAATTTTTAAACCCCATTTGATCCCCATGGTGAAAATAGAAATTCCGAAACTTTATTTCACATCTACTAGACACAAGCAATCATATTCCAAAAGTATTTTGACTATGCGTAAAATGTAAGAGGAGTTCTGGGAATCAGGTTTTTGTAGAAAAACATAATTTTCGACCCCTATATCGCCCCCGTGGTGAAAATGAAATTCTAAAACCTTATTGTACATCTACGGGACATCACCAATCACTTTCCAAAAGATGATTTGGTTGCTGCGCAAATTCTAAGAGGAGTTCTGGTAACCCGGTTTTTGTACAAAAACGTCGTTTTCGACCACTATGTGGTCCCAAAAGGTGAAAATGAGAATTCAAATACCTTCATGCACATCTACAGGACACGATTAATCACCTTCAAAAGATGATTAGACTACGGTGAAAAAAAAGTAAGAGGACCTCTGGGATCCAGGTTTTTTTTTGCTTGGAAATTTTTTTTTGTTATATACTATCTTAAATAAAACAATCATACGCGAGAATTAAATATTTCCGAACAGATGGTCTCGCGGAATTACGTGAAATTAAAGTTCTCGCTTATAAAAAGTATGTTTGTTGTTTAACGTCCCTCTCAAGAATTTTTCACTCATATAGAGACACCATAACTTGCCGGTGGAGGGTTGCAAATTTAGACCTATACTTATTGCCACTCAGGCCATTGAGCATTGAGCAAATGAGGGATCTTTCTTTTTCGTGCCATCACCTACAAGTACTGCGACACGGGACCTTGATTAACACTGCCTCATCCGAAGGACCGATCTCCAGTCCCACAGTGGGATCCGAACCCGCGACATAAGGGCAACTCCTTACTCCGCCACTCTAGGGCAAACGCTCAATGCACTGTACAACGCGGGCGACCTATTAAAAGTAATTTACAGTATAATAAAACTGTAATTGTTGTTCGCATTGTATAAAATCTTTTATGTGTTTGAAAGCAAAGCTTATTTCATAAGTGAATATCTAAAGTGTATGAATTTTGAAAGTCATTTCTGTGCATGTGGCTGAAAAATTATACAGTGATATGAAAGAATTGTCTACGAGCAGACTTTGAATCAACAGATATTGAATCATATACATAGAAAACACCCTGCCTTTTTCACAATATTTTCCCCAGAAGTTTGCCTTGCAAATGCATTTCAGATCTCCACTAGGTGTTGTTTGACAGGCGCCATCATTCAGACACGGACTGGAGGAACACTCTGTAGAGAAAATGTAATATAGATCCAACAACATGCAATGTGTTTGATAATATCATTTTTCAGGGACTAGAGTTAGAAGATTTTAAATGAAAAACAATTCAGATCTTGAAATAGAATATTATAGATTCAATAATTTTAGAGTTCCAAAGAAGATATTAAATATTTTAACACAAGTGAAGGTAAAACTTCAGAAGTACTGTGAATCAACGTATTCGAAAATTGGTGTTAATCAAATGTGGATACTTTTAGAAAAATTGAAATCACCAAATATTCCAACAAGCAATAGCATCAGAGCCTATGACTCTTCAACATCGTATACAACCATTTGGAATTCCTATGAGTATCTATTCTTGTTTTGTATTTTTATGAAGCAGAATTTATTCATAAACTTCTGTATGAAAAGAAATCTCTTGATGTGACCTTCAATTTGACATTTAGATACATCGATGACATTTTATCAATTAAAAATTTTTTTTTTTTCATAAGCTAATTTGACATATCCCACAGAACTTGAATTAATAATAATAATTTTTAAAAAAAACCAGACTGACAAATTGCTTCATACTTGGATGTTTTACTGGAGAAGGACATTGACAAACTAGTAACTAAACTTAATGATAAACTTGATGACTTCAACTTTCCTATCATTAATCTTCCTAATTTATGTAGCAATATACCATTATCACCTGCAAATTATGTTCATGCATCCCAGTTTATTCGCTAAGCATACGACTGATTTCTAAACCAAGATAGACTACTGCCAAATTAGTTGATGACACAAGGGTATCAACAATCTCGCTCAAAGTCAACGTTTCGCAAATTATATCATATGGTCGATACAATAACCTTGTTGGCAAATGAAACTTATCGTTAGGTCAAATCCTGACTGATGTTTTTTTTAAAATACAAATTGTAAGGCCATTATTTCCATACTGAACTGGCTACTGATTTATCCATTTACCCAGTCAAGACAAATTGTTCATGGTGGGTGTGACAGGTCGACAGAGGATACTTACTCCTCCATGGCACTTGATCCAACCTCTGAAGTAAAATTCAATGATCCGATTGCTATGCTCTCAAATCGTTTTGCTTATTTGGACTTTGAGCATATCTTCATATTTCACTTATTTCCTTTTAGCTTGTATTTTGATCTCTCATATTTTATGTCGTTAATGCCTTACTTTCTGACATGTATATATTTCACGTGTGTAAGTATGTATAATAATACAAAAATCTAAAACTATTTCAAATTCAACAACGTTTTTCGAAATTTAAAAACTTACGATCCCGTAAGAGATGTACATTCATCATAAAGCAGCGTGACTGACCCTGTACACTGAAATGACAGAGACCTTACAATAAACGCAACGATTTTCAACATTTCTTTTACAAAGAAAACATGAATGATTTTCATAATTCTTTTTCATGTACTCTTCTCATCGATTTAAGAATGAATAAAACCGTCTTCTTGCAACTGTTACATATATTTACAAAGGTTCAAATCACCTTAAATTTACAACATAATAGATGTTCATGAGTGAATTTTCTTCGTTAAGTAAGAGTAGATTTTGAATGAAGTTAACAAACTTAAAAGGTTAGTTAAAAAAGTGTGAAATGGTCAAAGATTTCAATTTTCACATTTTGGCATTCCATAAAACGATATACATTGAAAATTTTAAGAAAGCTTTAGAAGTATTTGTGAGAAATAGGAAAGACTTTCAAAAAAGAAATTAAAAAAGGAACTGACCATGGCATTAAGCAAATTTTGTTCGTCCCTAATTCCGTCGTGTTGGTATAAACCACATCATATGAACATAAACCAGGATTGGCCAATTGTACTGGCTTAAACACAGCTATGTGCTCGTTGTCAGTGTTTATTTCAGCGCTTAAAAGAAACTAAAAACTGTGAAAATGGGATTTAATTACATTTATTGTCTCTTATCATCCAATGCATGACAACTACCACAATAAGACTCTGAATAGAATAAGCTCTGTAGGTCTATTTCTAATTTGGTGAAAAAGAGGGATATGTGCTTCATGAGCTGGGCAACTCATCCCACTTCTGGTGTTTTCAGGGGTCCGTTTTTGTCCTGTTCACAACTTGTATTCTTAAATGGATCCATGAGATTGTTTGTTATCTTCACAAATTTTCATTGACTTTTGCCTCTCGTGTCTTCAAAACGCAGTGACTACCCTTTTTGTAATCATTGTGATTACCTTACATCAGGATACACATAATGATTAATATTGAATATAAATATAAGCTGAAAGATTTTGATAAATTATATTATTAATTATATTGTAAAATAAACCCAGGTTTGAATATGGTTGAGAATTCATAAAAAATCTAAAGCAATGCGGGTAATAGATTATTTGTATCAAGGAACTTTCACAATTAAATTCTGATTTACGAAGAACGTTGTTTTGTCATGTTTACAGATCATTTTCATACTGTATTGTCTACGGATTATTCCTTTTATCTGCTCGAGACAAAAAGCTCACGGTAGGTGTGACTGGTCAACACGGGGTATTTACTTCTCCAAGGCACCTGATCTCATGACTAATGTTTTTAAGAGCCCGCAGTTGCTCTGTTATAATTGGACTATTGAGTATAATTAATGTTTATTATCTTCAAATTTTAATACAAGAAAACACATATTTGACGATTAATCAATAATGTATTGTTTTAAACCGTACCATGTACCATTCTGGTATGGAATGGTGTATACAAAGAAATGACAAGGAACGCCTTTCTTACACCCAATGGTAGAATCCGTTCCCAGCGTCTCCTTCGAAAAGCTGCAAGATGTACTTCTTGTTAACTGAAAAAAAGTAAAAATCTTTTATTTGTCAGAAGGGAATTACATAAACTGATACTTGCATACTTATAAAAATATCAAAATAAAGAAAATGCATTACTTACCATGCCCCAAACTACAATTAAAGAAAACATATTCTTAAAAGTAGTTTGAAAGTACATACAATTCATAGAAAAGAACATCAAGGTACTTTTGATGTATAAAGTCAAGTCCTTTCAGGATTAATTTACCTTTAGATCTAATTATGACACGTACACACCTCTGGTCAGTAATTTTCTGAGGGCTAGAATGAAAATTTGTGATGAAAATGCTATCAAGTTTTATATTTCTGTAATTCTGCAAAATTTAAGTTTTTAATCAACGTCCATACTTTGGATTTGATTTTTTTTTTACCTAATTTGTTGGGCTACGTTTATGCAAAGATCATATTCTTTGGTTTCTGGTTCCTCTTTGGTGTTAAATGCAAGTTTAATAAGTGCTCGGCATATCGCTGTGTTTCTGTCTTTGATACAGTTTGATACATCTGAATTTAAACTTCCGAGTTTGCTACCATCAGAGATGGAAACCGTTGTTGTTTCACTGAAATTATTCATTAGATCTTAGTGCCATAAATGTATATGAACTTTCAATTTGAGAAACAATGTGAACTTGTTAGACAGCCCATTTCATGACCAATCTGTAATAAAATTGTGAACAAAGAAAATATCTATAAAGTTTCTAGCCTTTCTCCTCTAGTAATTTCTAAATTTGGCTGCGAGTACATTTTATGAATTATCTCTTTGAATGAAAGTTCTCTTTTTACATATATAGTTTAATTTTCTTTACTTAAAATACCTAATGCTTTTATTAAGTTCAACCAAAATTGGAGTAAATGTAAAACAAGAAAAATCATAGACTGTGGTAGATTTACAGGAATGCGCACAGGATATGATTCATCAAGATTAAAAGTTCATACGATTTTTTGATCCACGTCGCTCCTTCTAAGAGAAAGATTTATATTGTATATTAATCTTTGTACTTTGGCCCATCATGACAGCAGAAACTTTCACTTGCGTAAGCTGATATGACTGGAAAAAGGATAACTGCACTTAACGCCGGTTTTTGGGTCTTTTTCGGATGCTTCTGTTGCTTTTATATCTAAACCTTATTTCACTTTTGTACATTTATGAAAGAAACCTGTCAATTTGGAACCAAATTTAAATCTTAAAATGATTTTAGACTGTGATACAATAAAATGATTCGATGTTTTTTGTCCTTACTGCTTTCCAAATATAGAGAATTTACACTTACCTGCCCTTGATTGAACATTAGATATGCATGAGAGGTGGAGCTAACACTGTCAGAATGTATCAAAAATTAACTAGATAAATAACAATGAGATGTTTGAAATAAGGAACATGATCACTATTTCCCATCTCCCTCTCCATTCTATACTGTAAACCAACTATTATTCGCGTCAACTTTTATTCGCGATTCGTCAGTTTGAAATCAATCCACGACAATTAATTTTCACGACTAAGGAAACATTTTCTACAGATACAAAGCAAAATAAATGCTTCGCGGTGATTAATATTCGCGAATTAAAGTAGGTCGCGAAACTCGCGAATATTTCTCGCACGCGAATAAAAGTTGGTTTACAGTACACTACTGACAAAGGTTTCAAAACGAAATTAACAATATCAGCACGTCCATGTAATTAAAGCAGATTTTAGATCAATGCCAGATGACTTAACATGTTCGAACACAACGTCTAGTTAGCACAAAACATGCTACCTTACAAGTCACGTGACGGAATTTAGTACTCGCAAAGTAACCTGAGGAAAGAAATCACGTGGTGAATTATAATATTCAACATGTCACAACCCTTGGTTACAACACAGAGAGCGAATGTAAGAAGAAGCAGTTTTTTTCTTTCTCTTTTTAACCATGAGCGCATGTTTGTCTATTAATCTCCTTTTGACACATTATTATTTATGCAAATATACAACTACTGTTAAAAGGAGAACAATAGACAAACATGCGCTGACTATATATGAGGTCAGTAAAAAAGTGGGCGTCCTCATTATCGAACGGAGATTCAAGAAATTGTGGTGACCCCTGCCTTTGAAAACAAATTCGAACTTCGTAAATACACACTTTTTTAAACGTAATTACATAAAGTTGTAGATGGGATGTTGACCATTCTTGCAATGGAAAGAAAAATGCTTATTTTGAAAGTTTATTTTGTCGCAAATTTCGCATGTCCTTGAGTGCAGTCATCCTTTCAAGCATTTACGACTAGGTCATATTAATTTAACAATTAGTTATCCTTCGTAAGGATTTTTTTCCTTTTTTGGGGGGAGGGGGTGTGTGAAAAACTGAATCCCTTATTGTGTCCCAAACCTTTCCTTGCGGAATGACATTTGAATAAATTGACTCTACTTTACATGGGGATTTAACGTATACAAATGTTTTTCTCAATCAAGTAAACTTCTCTATTTTTGGCACAACCATAATATCTCAGCCCATTGTAAAACAAACTTTCAATTTCTCTTCAAAAGATATATTAGCATAAGTTTCATCATTTCTTTTCCAGAGATTCTTGAAAATTTTTTTTTTGAATGACCCAACGTATTTTCGGGTCCGTCTCTCTGTGACATCAAATTCACCTCTTGATGCTTTGTCGTTAATTTGGTTGAAAATGTCTCAAAGGTTCTGGAGGTAAAATTGAACGTATGCCACACACACACACAAGCCCCCCCCCCCCCCCCCTAAAAAAAAATCAATAATACTCACTTAAACCACCGGTTCTGATCAGTTAAAGAGCATCTTGTGGAGGCTTTTATATTACATAAATTCAATCAATATAAATATTGCTATACCTAGATAGAACAAACGCAGAAAACAGGCATTCTGTATGACTTGTATCACATTCAATGACAGAACCCAGTCCTGGAGTTGGAGGTACAAACTGCGGCTACAAAATGAGTTTCTTTTTATGAGGTCAATTTCAAATTAAATTGAGAATAAACACCAATTAGCATTTGGCAGTTGTATAAAATGTGTTTGACAAATTACAGTATCATAATATTCAAAAACGGCTTCATTAATATTGAAGCAAATGTCACAGAATTGAGCAGAACACAAAACTGACTACATAATAAAGATTAAAATGTGAAACTTACAGAGACTATGTTTGAGGAATTTAAACTGGTATCTGAAAAAAATAAGCAATAAGAAAAAGAAAACATCCTTAAGGAGTCTTATCAACTTCACAAAATGAAATCTTTTCCTTTACCTGTGGTACAAATTCCATCATTTTTCTTCCCTAAAGCACACACGCATTCAGGATTTCCATTTGAATCCTTTACACACGCTGAGGTAGAGGTATGCTGACATATTTTTGAACCCAGGCACTTCACTTTTCGTAAAGAAAAAAATATGTAGCGTTTTTAACAATTAAAAAATACAGTGCGCGAAACAAATTTTCCCAAGAACCTGAGGCCGATTGGCACAACGCTCGCCTGAAACACATTGGACCTGCAAAAGAAGATTATTCCCATGGAAAAAATTGATCCATGTTCTGAGCTCGCAATAGCCCCAATGGATCATGACATAGCGGAACTTGAATCAACACAATATGGAATGATTTAAAATAAGTATGACCTACTGTTTTGGGAGAAAAATTTTCCAAAGTTTTTTTTTCTCGCATACAAAGACTTCTTAGCCTGTATATACGCATTATGTAAAAATTAATCCCCATTTGTAGCCCAATCTATTCAATTATTCCTTGTCTTTTCTGCATATCCCCGGAGTCTATGATTTGAACACATTTGAATATTCTCTTTGTTGGTAAGATTTCAGATATATCCCTTTTGTAAAGGACATGGCCCTTGATCTGAACAATTTATATTCCCTCTTACCAAGAATTGCTCCTTGCTAAATTTGATTGAGCTGGGAGCAGTGGATTCAGAGAAGTCAAAAATGTTAATGCTCAAAGACAGACGAAGAGACAAACAAGCAGCAAGACTACTAAACAGACTAATAGTGGACAAAGGTAAACTAAAAAGTTTGAACTTGAAGGAAATCTGATAAAAATGATTTTTAAACATGTTTAACTTATATTTCACAACTTAAAAATATACAATTTAATTACAAAATGCACTTTTAATTATGCAAACTTAAATATGCATTGTTTCAGATACTATCTGTTTGTAAATACGACATTAATATTTTGCCTGCTGAGTAAATAAACGAAGTTAAAGTGTATATGCATGTAAAACAATAAGTACTGTAAAATTAATGTATTATATGAAGTGAGTACGATATTTGGCGAAAAAGTCAACAAAAATTAGTGATTTCACAGTAGGTATTTTCTTCTCTCTTCGAGTGGAGAAAATCCGTCACGGTAGCTTATTGATAGGGCGTTCGCTTCGTGATCGGGTTGCCTGGGTTCCATTCTTGTTCGCCGCGCCTCGTCAAACCCAAGACGTAAGCAAAGTTAGTTACTGTTCCTTCGCCAAGTTCCCGGCATTAGAAGTGAAAGTAAAGGGTCTTTCGGATGAGAACTTAAAAACCAAGGTTCCATGTCGCGGTTGGCTTGGCACGAGAACCCTCACTGTTCAATGGCCCTAAAATGCCGAGTAAAGGTCTAAATTTGAAGCTTTTCACTAGTATATGGTGACGTTTCTATACAAGTGAAAAATTATTGAATTGGACGTTAAACAACTTAAAATCAATCAATCAATCGAGTGGAGGAGATATATGACTTTAAGCAAAATAACTTCACGGTTTGAACAGTATTTGTAAGGGTACACTGCAAGCGACGTCTCAGGACAGTGTGATTTTATGACACAAGGGGCTAAGGATTGTTTAGAGCAGACCTAGGACAAGTTCTTCATCGATCAGGAAAAGGCAGTTCTGTGGTTCGAGAAGAGCTATCAAGATGCAAGAGCGGTAGGAGACTGCTAGATTGGAGCCTCCTATGAAGCCGGTAGTCGACAGAGCTTGCCTAAGTCAAAGCAAAGTTTTCGTGATACATGCAGGTCGGTCAGCAGTAACGAGGGAAAGTTCTCTCAAGAAAACGAGGGGAGTCTTTCCCCAACCCATGCAAGCGGCAACGGTTCTGGTCTATGC